CAGAACATCCAAGTTTGTCCACCCATTCCTTAATAGCGATTTCCTCCATATTAATTCCAACAATTATGCTCTTCCCCAAATTCAACTGCAGACCCGAAATTAACTCAAAAATACGTAGCACTCTACTAACATTCTTCAGCTGGCCCATAGAAGCATTGCAGAAAATTAGCAAATCATCTGCGAACTGTTGATGTGATAACATGAAAAAATTCCGTCTTCCTGATTTCAAACCCGTAGAAAACCCCCAAATTTACCGCCATGGATAGCATCAAGTTTAGTAATTCCCCAACCAGATTGAATAACAAAGGGGACAAAGAACACCCTTGCTGAAGCCCTCTAGCAATCCTAAACTCTTCCAACGATGACCCGTTAACTAAAATAGAAATGGAGGTCGACGAAATGCACTTGAATATCCAAGAACACCACCTCATTCCGAATCCCATCTTCTCCATAATTTTCAACAAAATCCCCCAATCGACATTCATACGCCCTCCTAAAATCCACCTTAAAAGCCACCCCTTTTAATCATTTTTTCCTCCAGTAATTTATAAATTCATTTGCAAAGAAAGAACAATCCATAATCTGCCTACCCGAGATGAAAGCAAACTGTGATGGCCCTATTAAATCATCAATACACCCTACCCTCTCAATCTCCTAGCGAGAACCTTTGATAAAATTTTATAAAGAGCACCCACAAGGCTGATCGGCCTATAACCATCCAAGCATTTCGGGCTCGACTTCTTAGGAATAAGCGTAATGAAGGAATGATTTATTCCATTCTCCCAATCCTTCCCCATAAAAAAGTCGTTGAAGAATCTCATTATCTCGAGCTTTAATTTGGACCAAAATTTCTTAAAGAAGCCCATACTTAAACCGTCAAAACCCGACGCTTTATTACTATATGTCGAAGCAATAGCCTCCCATACCTCCTCCTCCGAGAAGGGGCTTTCAAAGAGTGAACTTTGTTCTTTCGATAGCCTAGCAAAATTTAGATCCATAGAAACCACATCTACGATGTTCTTCTGATTATAAGCAGCTTTGAAAAAGTCCTGGACAGTGTTCTTTATCTTCTTCGGGTACGAAATCAACCTGTCTTCTATTCTTAGATAATTGATTGAGTTAATTATGCCCCTATTTGCAGCACTTTGATGGAAAAATCTCGAGTTTCTATAGCCATATTTAATCCACTTAGCCCGAGATTTTTTAAACCAAATTTGCTCATCCTTTCTGTACAAGTCCCACAACTCCCTTCTTGCTTTCGCCAGTTCTTCCCTTGAAAATGCCAAAGACCCCATTGTAATGCCACCTGCATCTCATGAATCTTCTTTTCCAAATCCAGAATAAAACCCGACAGCTTTAAATAATTATTGTTTGACCACCCCTTTATTGACTTCTTTAGATTTTTGAGAGTACTCATAACACCTCTTCTCCTCCATTTCTGTGCCTTCTCTATCTCTATTTCCATCATTTCTTGAAAACCCTCTTCTTCTAGCAAATAATTGAAAAATCTAAATAGCTTCGAACCCCAATTTTGTCCCCTGTTTTCAAGCATAATAACATTATGGTCAAACAACGATTTCAACAGTAGATGTTGTGATAGTTTGGAAAAGCGGATGCAAAGCGACAATCTAACAGAAACTATTCTAATCTGATTTCCGTTGATGCTTCTCGATTATTACTCCACGTAAAACGACCACCCGACAAAGGTAAATCAACCATATTCGCCTGCATCACAAAGTCGTTAAACAACTTCATCGAATGCAAACTCTGTGACACACCAATTTTCTCATCTCAATTCAGATAAACATTAAAATACCCCATATGCAGAATGGAACATCCAACTGATCAATGAAAGACATAAGTTCCATGAAAAAATCTTATTTTTCCGAATCCATAAACGGCCCATAAACATTTATAAAACAACACTGTACACCGGCTTCCATAAAATCTCCCCAAATTGCAATAAACATTCTGTGAATTTGTTGTTGCTTTAAAACAAAAACATTCTCGTCCCACAAACTTATCATACCCCCGCTGGTCCAATCGAAGGCGACACAACAACTCCCCGTAAATATTTACCCCAATCCTTCTCGACAACATAAGACCCACTGGCTCCATTTTCGATTCCTGGATGAACACAAAAGACAACTTCTTCTCCACAATCAACCTCCTCAATGCTCTACCCTTCTCCTTTCTACCCAACCCCTTACATTCCATGAAATTATTGACAACTCCAACATTAAACGAAAAACAAAATTACCTTTAAGCGAAATGAGATATTAACTCATATTCCTTTTATCCTCTCCTTGTTCAACTTGGCCACTTTATCCACAAACACCTTCTTCTTATCCCGAAAGGTTATGCCCATCATATTGCTGATTTTCCATGTAGCTTCTACCTCTTCCACGTCAACTAACCTTCTCGAAGATACAGAGGGGCAAGAACTTCCCTGATCCGAGGCCATTGACACCCTATTTTTTCTTGTTCTACTATAAACCCTATTGAAGAATCTGCTATCTTCTCTTCCCACCGAAGCATGCCTGCCCACTTGACCATTTAACGATCTCTTTCGAACTGCAGAGAGACTTAGATTTAGATCGATTTAGATATCCCGATGATAATCTCTCTCTCAACGTTCTCCCTTGACCGCTTAAGAGCACCTCTCCCTTCAATTGGGTTAGTATCCCTTAGATTGGGTCTCTCATTAAAACCAATTAAGGTGTTTTCAAAAGTTACAGGGCTAGAGTCCAACCTTCTCGGCCCATTTTCTAATTCCACTCCACCAAAATTATTAATCAAAGAACCTTCCTGACACTCCACGTTGACTCCCTCCATTCTCCCTACATTCGGCGGGTCCAACATGCCATTAGGTTCATCACCCGAGCCAATCATTAATGAATCCTGACCCAAAACAACTGGAATATTAAAAACCTCTCTATTTCCAAGGAGACCGACGTTCTTACTCTCCTGCAACCATGCTTCCACCCTTTCATGCGAGATTTGGTCTGACTGTTGGTCTTCCCTGTTCTCCTGAAACACACCCTCTTGCAGATTCTGTTCATCTTTCGAAAAGCTCCCCGACAAATCATTTTCCTGCCTCTATGATGAATCTACTTCTGTTTCATTCCAAATAACATTTATGAAGCTATCCTCCATGAAATCAACCTTGATCTTGATTTTATACGGCCTCCCATTCGTGTTTATTATAATGTATTCAGGAATATCAAACGGACTCGCCACCCTTAACACCAACTTTGCTGCACAAAAGTCGATTTTCCGGAGTCTCTCATCTTGTACCTTTACCAACGACCCCCATCTCGACGCCAGTTTCGAAAAGAAGTCTTCACACCATCAATTCAGAGGCACACCTATTAATTTGACTGAGCATAAAGCCATAGGCACTCCTCCCTCTTGATACACAGGGACCAACTTTTCAAACCAAAATTCTAAATCCTTCGCTCTCTTCTCCATCACTTTCTTCTCCTCCTCCGATGGAAAGGTGTTAATGCACGCATTCTTTGCATAGCCCCAGGTCACCAATTTGACATTGAAGTTGTCACTATGTATTACCTTTTGGATAAACTCCAATTCAACAGTGGATTTGAGAATACCTGTATATGACAGCTTAATCCACTCCCTTTCTTCCATAGGTATGAACATGTTCAGAGGACTCTTTACCTCCCCATCACCATTCTTCTTCCTTCATCACCCGTTTGATCCTTCTTAATTCCCATCAATGACACTTTATAAGATCTATCATAAAAAACTCGTTAAAAGATGTCGATTTATCTATTTCCCTCCTTGGAACGACTCCTAAAATCCTCGGCACATCCTCGTTACCCCCCTCTTTTCCTTTTGCGCTTCTCTTTTCTGATACTTCGCCACCGCAACAATTATCCTTTTCCTATCAATCGTAGCATTATTAAGCTTCTCAATGGCCTAGAGCATATCCACCTTGGTTTTGAAATGGACGAAAGCGAACGTCGCATCTCTGTACTTTGGCCTTCTATTAACAACAGGAATAAACACTCTATTAATCTTGCCATGGTGCTTAAACCGCTCCCATAAGGCACTCCTCGACACTCTTCTACTCAGATTATCAATGAAAACACCCCACTTTGCTCTAGTGGGAGCGAAGCGTCAGTAGCACTCATATTCCTCCAAAGGAAAATTAGTTCAAAACCAATTCATATTACAAAAGTTATTCAAGCATTTGTCTTCGAACAAGAGATTATCAGAAGAGTAGGATAACAAAAGCAAAAATAAAGGCACGTTCAATGTGTAATATAATGAAGAGAATAGGATAAAAATATCTCTATCCCACTATTAATGTTCACCTGATGAGCAATAGGATGAGAAATAGATCACCTATTATTCTTTTTCTAATAAGTAATTGGGTTTCATTAAAAAAAACCCTTCATAATCAACATCAAACCTTAGCTCGATGTCGGACAGCGAAAGGAGGAAAAGAGTACCCCAAATTTTATTATCACAATCCAACATTACGAGAGTTTAAATCACATTAATGCATCTAACTAGGAACTTACTTGACATCTATCTTAACAAGTTTAACGCCACGAGCATGTAAATCAGCTTCCTTATTGTCAAAAAATCCTTCAGGAAGAGCTCCCTTTACTTGCTTGGTTTCTGGAGCACTAGCCTCCTCTGATGCCTGTGTATTCTCCCTAGGAGGCTTCATAACATTCATAGGTAAGTTGGTATCATCTTTATCATAGAAGTCATCAGGAAGATATCCTTTCATTTGCTTAGTTTTGGTTTCTGGAGCACTAGCCTGCTTTGGTTCTGGTTTATTTTCCATAGGAAGCTTCATAACATTGATTGGTAACTTGGTTTCATCCTTATCAAAGAAGCCATCAGGAAGAGATCCTTTCACTTTCTTGCTTTCTAACTGTGTGACCTGTCTTGACTCAGGAGGCTGAGTCATCTTTGTTTGAATGGCACTACGTTGAGGAAAACTATCCTCCTCAGTCTCCGAATATAAAGACTCCTTTACACGAGTTTGCGCTGAAATTCCAGGCTTTTTGTTTGAATCAGGATCTGGAAAGATTGCAATGTCAAGTTACAAAAGTTAATTAGTTAAGTCAAGTCCAATTACCTATTATATTACCACAAATTACAATAATAAAAATGGCTTCTAAATATTTCGGAAACTAAAGTGCAAAACCAATGCCTAAAGTTGAGTCATGTCAATTTAGAAACAATAATTATTCTGAGAATACTTTAAAACCATAAATAGGAGCTTAAATTAAGTGGGTTCCAATTTAGTGTAATTAGCCTTGTGTTGACAAATTCTGATTTTTTTTATTCTTTGGCATACTGCATTAGAGGCATGTCTATATCAAACAAGGATATGGCACATTCGTGCTTCATAGAGCAAGCACCACAAACAATTAAGCAGATTAGAACATCCCCAAGAAAACACCCGTTACACCCCTACTTCTCTCATTCTCATGTATTTATATCTTTTCTGTAGATAACAAGATAAAGTAAAGCTTGACACTATTATCAAAAGTCAAGAAGCTACGAACATACATTTTCATTAGAGAATCAATCTAAATGCAGTAAAAAAACAAAGCAAAATCATAATGAATAGCTCTTACAAGATTTTCCCTTCTCTGTCCCATGATTATAAAAAAAACCTGAAGGCAGCCCAGATTGTGTATTGTTAGCCTGAGTACGCTTAGCTTTCAAGGTATTAATTGCCTGCTCCAAGATAAAGCCTCTGATAAGTATATTCAAATAAGATGGATAAAAGTATAAGTATGGCAGCAAAGAAATCACGGAACAAATAATCAATGAGAAATGAAAATACAGACCCTAGGACTAAAACCCAGCAAAAATGAATTAAAATAGCTATAACAAAATAACACAACTGCAGTATTTGAAGCTAAATGCCATCGCCAAAAATTGGATAAATACAGAAACAAAAGAGAGAGAAAAAGTTATTGTAGATTAAAAATTGGATAGAAATTGTAGAAAGTAAGGATTTAGGAACAGAGATCAAAGTGATACTCTGAATTTCTTGATTAATTAGAAGGGAAGTACAAGCCTCATTTAAATAGACTGAGTAGAAGAGTTTAAATATAACCACAATTACTCCTAGATAAGGTTCTATCCTATTTAGAAAATAAAAGGATAAAGTTATAGTTAATTATAACTAGAGAACACGTGTGCGATAGGAAGATAAAAAAAACAGTGCATGTTCTAGCTTTAATGTACTTGAACTTTTCCTCAACCTTGCCAAAGTGCACCAATATTTTGGCAACATAGATCAGATATCAGCTAATCCAACAAAAGTAATTCCTTAAACTTCAAAGATTATTTAAAAAGAACATGGCATATATATTTCAAATTAACAAAAAAGAAGTAATATCAACAACCTTTGTTATGTTGAACCATTTTTACAACCCCTATAAACAAGACTTATGGTTAATTGTCTCCGAGACTTAATCAATTACCTAAAGACTGCTCTCAAAGGCACTCAACATCATTACACATGTCAGGATTCTGAGTGTCATACACAAGGGGAGAGATTACCTCATGATGTTTACGAGAAGCTTGGTGTGCATCCCAATGGGATACAGATTTCAAAACAACATCACAGACCCGGCAGACAGGTTGGTCAGATTCATTGTACCTTCATGTGCAAAAGAAATTAAAGAGAAATTACTTTAGGAAAATAAGTTATAACTAGATATAGCAATAAACTTTTAGAAGATGAAAACCAAAACTGACATGAACCCTATATACATAGAGCAATGAGGCATATCGAAAGAAATTAAATCAAAAGAAATACCAATGCACGTCATATTTTCATCCATTCACGTGGTGCACTACACTTAATGAAAGTATAGGATTTACTCAAAGCTCCAAAAACATAGAAGCAATATCCTCAAGAAAAATTATTGAATTCTAGAAAATAAACATGATAATAACCATAACACTAAGAATCAAATAAACATTATGAAAAGCAAGACAAATTCCAATGCAAGCATGAAAAAAAAATTCCCCACACAAAATCCCTCCAAGTTCCAAAAGGCTGTATTTCAGACCAATCCTTTGGAAAACAGACACTAAAAAGCTAGCCCAAGACACTTCAAACAATTAAAAAATATATATACATTGCTAGAACAATAATACATTCATTTCATGGCTATAGTATATGGTAGTGAAGGGATAAATTTACTTGATAAGGGGATTATCCATGCGCTTTTCCTTCTTTTGTGCATTCAATTTGGCGCGAAACACCGCCTTGTTCCTCCCTTGGGCATCCATTTCCTCCTCGCAACCTTAACAACCAATAAACAAATTATTCTCCAAAAAATGCAAATAATTACTTCCTGAGAAAATAAATTTTATAATCAGTGTTATAAAAGCATAGATTGCCATAAAACATTGAGAGAAAGCAAACAAATAAGACAACAACAATAACAACAAAACACTATTCCCATATGTAATGGGGTTAAGGGGAGGTAGAGTAGTAGGTTGCACAACGCCAGATTGAGAGCAACTTCCGTGAATACCTCCGGCAAAGCAAAGAAATAAGACAGAAAGAACCAAAAAAAGGGGGGGGGGGCTAAATTAACCTGACTGGAAGTATAACTAGTGGGTTCAAATCCGATCTAATTCCCTATTTAATTTGAAAAAAAAAAATTCATAAAACGAAAAAATGAAAACCAGAGACGGAAGCGTATCAGAAATATGAAATATAAAACCAAATAATACAAAGAAGTAAACAAATTAATTCTAAAAGGCAGCTGAAAATGAAAAAAAAATCAATATAGAACAACGAAGAAAGAGTACCTGGCCTCTAGAGAAGTTGAAAAATGAGATATAGAGAACACGGAGAAGCAAGTGAAGTGTGAGCAATGAAGAAGAGGTAGATAAGTTGCGAGTAGAAAGAGAAGAGAAAGCTGCAGGTTAGGGATTGTGTTTTTTTTCATCTCAAAAATAAAATAAAATAGAGTTAATTGCAGATATAGTCCCCAAACTATGATCACATTCTAATTTTGTTCTTAAAATTTAAAATATTTTCCATCACTCCTTAAACAATCAATATCATATCATTTCATTTTAATCCATTCTCGTTAAGGTATCGTTAACCCTACAGACTTTTTAAGTTCCAAAAAATTGAACGCGTCATCTAAAAATATTTAATCTATTTTTGAAGGTCCTAAGTTCGACAACTACTAGAAGACGATGAATGTTGGTCCATTAATAGCTGAAGTTATAGCAGGAACAAGTTGCACTCAAGGTAATTCGACATCTCGAAAACTTCCATCAGAGCGCAATCTGAGTCCACAACCAGTAATAGGACATCGGATCAAGGAGCTAGAATGTGCAGCAATGGCGACAACAAGTACAACGCATGTTTCCTTCTTAGAAGAGTTTGATATATTTGAATGTCCCTTGTTGAAAAGTGTTCCACTAATGGGACAATGCTCTTCTCCTGGAAAGCTTCATATTTCCAGCCCAGTTGTACACAATGAAGCAAGATTGGAGATGGACCGTCAACCTCCACTTGTCTCGAAGGGTTATTTCTGTATCAGTGCCCATCTAGAAGGATTTCCCTGTCTACGAAATCGACCACTTGATAGCTGCAACACATTGGAAGTTCTCCCAAAAGCAGGAAGATGTTCATCCCTTGAAAAACTGGTTAGCAAATAATAATTTCTTATGGTCACTTTTCCTATCACTTTATGTTGCATCTTACTTTGCATCTTACTCACCTTACAGATGAAGAACTGGTTCAGCCATCAACTAGCTTCATTTATAAACCCTTTTTTCCCAAACTTTTTTCTATCGAATTTGACAATCGTATATTATAAACCGAGAATCAAAATTTATACTACCAGAGTCTAGTGCCTGCGAATTTGACAATCGTATATTATAACCTGTTGGAATAATTTAAAAAAGTCATTTTACAGCATGTCTCAATGTTGTTTCAACAGATAAAAGACCGTTTCAGGTCTGGGGCCAGTCATAATGCTATGTATTTTCGAAGCTTTTACAGTTCCCTTCTAATATCTTATTCGCACATAAAAAAAAATGATCAAACCTAAAAAAAACAATTGCCAAATTCCAGCAGGAACTTTACAATGACTTGCCTATCATGGAGCTCACATGGCTTGACAGGAAAAGCAAATACATATAAATTGTGTATATTTATATCTAAAGAAACAAATGGCATCAAGAAAGGCAATAGATTGAGCATTCTAAATTACCTTCTACTTTTGTTTTGTATTTTCTTTGATTTCCCGCACTCGCCAAACAATGAAAATTGTCTTGTTCTGCTAGATCGAACAGGTGTTCCCTTTACCTGTTAAAAGAAAAAATGAAACGTCTTTTCGCATAGTCTCGAAATCAATCTTGCAGGTTTTATATGTTGAGAGAAAGAAAAGCGTGAGTGTGGTGTGTGGGGGGGGAGGTCGCTGCAACGGCCTACCTTCGCCCTTTTAGGAGGCTTTGAGGTGTTCCAACAGAAAATCCCACTGCATCCTCTGGCTCCTGACCCTGATTCATATCCACTAAGAAAAAACCATGAATGAGCACGATGCATACATCACGAGAACAAATCGTAGTCTATTTCTTTACTCAGAGAAGAAAATAAATACCATCCAACCAGTGCTAACATTTTGATGGATGAAAATACTTCGGTCGGTTCGAACAAACAAAAAACAAATCCCTTAGTCTTACTACCACTTATGGAATAGTAAAAATGATTCAAGTTAAATACAAAGTCAAAGACTTGGGAGCAAGATCATTCCTGGATAGTTAAGCAAATAAGAAAATGTACAGTGGCCATCCGTTGCCTTCTAAAGCAAACCTTTGGATCAATTTCAACCAGATATCAAATAATGAATTAAAAAAAAACTTAATTCCAGAACACGTTGAAAAATAAACCATATATAAATGATTTAACTAAATTGAAAAGTTAGAAGTACAGCAACTGTTAGACATGATTCTGGTTTTAAGAGAAGTCAAAACCTTGTAAATTATTTTACCAAAGGACACTAAATAGTATTGGCTTCTAGCTATGATTATGGCCCTTTTCTTTTTCATTTTTAAAAAAAAAAAAGTCATTGCATCAATCTAACTAAACAGAAGTCTTTGAATCAACGTTTAATACTTGACGAGAAGGATTTGCTAAAGGGTGAAAATAATAGGCAAAACCAGTAATGGTATCAGACAAACTCACAGGTTCTCTTTGCTTAAGTTGCTATTGTGCAGCAAGCTGGGAGACTTGGGATAATAATCATCCCTTCTACCTATCTGGTCCTTCTGAAACTCTTGTCCGACATTTGTTTTCAAATTTTTAAGCTCCCGGTTTAGTTCCTCATCCCGTTGCTGAGACGAGAATGCCAACGAATTCACTGATCCCAAATTACTTTGACGATACACCTCTTGAGGCAGAACCTGATTCTTTTCGGGCTTCAACTGACTTAATGATCCAGGAGTGCCTTTTTCAGCAGCTTGTAACCAGGCGGTTTCTAACCTTTGCTCACGTATAATGGATTCAATTCTCTGCATTGGAATCTCTTGCCTACTCTCCTTTGAGCTATCAAGGTCATCTTTGCCTTCAGCTAGGAACTCAGGTGTTCTCACCATAGATTGTGATGAATAATTAGAATAATCTTGTACTCCTCTCAGTTTACCTTCCAAATCACTAAAACTTCCCTTGGATGCTTTAAGCAAATCCCGATGCAAGTCTAAACTAGATAAACCATCTAGCACATTCTTAGGAATGGCTTTTCTATCACTCCCCATTCCGGATGCAGTTTCGACCTGCTGCAGACTTTCCGGCATCTCAGCTGGATTTGTATGATTTAGAGAAACCCCAACGTCAGCCAAGAGAATTATTCGAACTTCTACATTACGTCTCATCACTAGTTCAATAGAGTTTGTAATACTGCTTAAAAACCTCTCAGCTCTAGACTTGATATCTCCATCCGCAAATGCGAGATAGGCAATTAGAACACCTGCCAGGAGAAAAAGAAAAAGTAATAAATAAATGAATAACATAAATTCTCTACATATTACAGACTATCTTGGTTGGATTTTATATCCATTCAACTTTCAGATCTGTTATAAGGCGTAGCAAAATTTCAAAGACTAGAAAGCCGAGGATTTCCCCCCGAAGGAGATGCATAAAACAGTTCATAGCCCGTGTAACATGAGTTACAGATCACCACATTGGTGATCTACCAGTTAATCCCTCTAAGTTGGACTACAATGTTATTTTAGAAAACCATTTTAAAAATTTGAAGCATGGTATATCAAATAGAAAATTTTACCCCAAAAAAACAATAAACCTTTAGTGGGGCTACAACAATGCTTGGAACATTGGACCCAAGACACCATTAATTCTCGTGTACAGAAAATTCATCAAATAAACTTCTTAAACTTTGAAGCGTATCCAATGCTTGATTGCTTTTAGGGTGTATTTCAAAATGAAAATGTATCATGAGATAAAATAAGTAAAACCATCAGTAAAATATATATACTCACATCTCAACATATGAGAGCACAAGTTCTAGGAATGCCGTCAGTAGAATAAAACTATACATGTGCGAGCATCCCGTTAAGAAATTTCCATCTCTTTGGTGTTGCATTAACAATTTATGCATCGTAGACCTTTATGGTCTCTCTCACAAATACATTTTTCACAGACAACAGGAAGATTGACATCACAGATTTGGTGTAACTTTATCAAGAATACTTGTCTCATTCGGTAAAATGCAAAATTACAAAAATAATCTCAAGTTTATAGCTTACCTTCCTTTTCAGAAAGAGACAAAAGCCTCCCATGTGCATGTAGCAGCTGTCTCAATGTCTTTGAGTGACACTTGTTAATACATTTTGCCCAGATGTCATCTAATTTTTCAGAATTTCTGCAGGCAAGTATCATACTTCCATTCAAATTATTGTCATGTGCAGAAGGAAATGCCCCGCCATCCATATATTGACCGTATGAAGTTCTGGAATTGGAACTATAACCATCAATCCTTGACACTAATTCTCCCTGAGGATTGGAATTTCCATTCACAGATTTGTGTAAGGATGCAGAAGTTGATCTCCAAGGCACACAATGAGTTCTGGACTTCAGCTTGTAAGCTATAGCTTCCCTTGAAATGCTTTGCAGTTCATCCTCAGTTGTCTTGGAGCTCTGCCTCCGGCTGCTGCCTAACTGAGTTAGATCTGGCGAAGGCAATGAACCAAGCTGCAACAGAGCAGCTGTAAACCATGTTGCGCGTTCACTTGAAACCCTTAGTTGTTTCTCAGCTTCGGAAAGAAGCTTTAAAGCATCTTTTAATCTCTCCACTTCTGCTTCAGTCACTGCAGCAGACACCAAAGATCAACATGTATATATTTCAAAATAATAAGAATAATGTAAGAATAAAAATAAATACGTAAAGCATTGCAAAAAAATTAGCACTCGAAGAAAATGCAATAGGGGCATCATCTTGATACAAGAGTATCATCTCTTTTACATCTTCACTACCATTGAATATTACCCAGGAAGTACATACACATACTGGCTACATGAAGCCAGCATGCCATTCTCATAGCTGCTGCATTCAATCACTCAGGTTTTTGGGTACAGTTTTTTAACTTTTACCTAAGCGATCGAAAACAATAATAGAGTGAGTGATGCACATTGGATCAAGCACGCGCCTTAGCACCAAGGCATGCTTTTTTTAAGGGCAAAACTAAAACTTACCTGATTGAAGTTCTCTTAATTTATTTTATTTTTACTTATTTCATTAACGGTGATTTTAAAAGAAGAAAAAAAAAAGGCCAAAATATTTGACATTTTTCCTGTAAAGAAGCTTTCTTTGGTAGAAGCTTTCTTTGCTGCCAAAGAAACAATAACAAAGTCATTGAATGATACTCACAAGCTCTTCCACCAAAGTGTGAGCTGCTGTACTTAGAATCAGTAATATTGTATGTTCCAGCAATGATGTCCATAATAAGGCTGGCCAATTGAGAGATCAAAATCATCGGATCAACCCCCGATTCCATCAATTCTCTAGCTCTTTTTACTGTTTCTGTCGTGTCAGATGACATTGCTAATTCCAGAAGTTCCAATAACTTCTCATCTGAAACAACCCCTACCTGCAGGGAGAAAGTTATGTAAACAATTCAAACTGTTAATATGTCAAAAAAAATGTTATATTTTAAAAAAAAAATAGTTCTTATTGCCGGGACTTGTCAAACATGTGATATAATATATTCCAATTTGTTATTAAACTAACCATAACTTTATAACATTCATGAAGTGACTAACTAAAACCTGAAAACGAAGTAACCATTCCTAGAAAGTATTTTCAAGCATACTCACAAGTTCATTTACAAGGGATGCAGTGATTCTTTTACCCAACAAACGTAGCTGGTCTAGCATTGTTTCTGCATCTCGAAGTGAACCATCTGCATTCAATACAATTAAATCTAATGCATCCGATTCAAGCTCAAGATTCTCATCGGTAGACATCTTCCTCAACCTTGCCATGATATCAACATCTTTTATTTTGTTGAAGAGATACTTCTGACACCGTGATTGCACAGTACGTGGAACATTGTCGAGATCAGTTGTAATGAATATGAACAAGAGACGTGGTGGAGGATCTTCATGGAATTTTAGCAATGCCAACCATATTTTGGAGGGCAACAAATGACACTCATCAATAACAAAAACCTTGTAACATGATGAGCTTGATAGGAGACCTGTTGACAGGCTTTTCAAAAGGTACCTAACTCTATCAATTCCTCTTTTATTGGTGGTATCAAATTCCCAAAACTCCTTGTGTTTCCCGGAAACAAACTCGGTGCATTCTGTACAATAGCCACAAGGCTTAGCATCTTCGGTAGTCTGACAATTCAAAGCAGCAGAGAAAATTCTGGCAGCTGATGATTTTCCAGTCCCTCGGGGACCTTGGAAAAGATAAAAGGGGACAATTCTTCCCTTCGAAACAGCATTCATAAGGGATTGTACCACAATATTTTGCCCAATCAGTTCATCAAAGAACATTGGTTTGTATTTCTGACTTAAGCACTTAATATTTTCTGGTGTACCCTCCTCCTCTGGTTCTCCATTAAGAGCTACAATCTCTAACCCATCTTGACTCCTACAGCTCGATGACCATCTCCTTCCATCCAATCTATTGAGGGCCTCTAAATCACGCTCTCCAAAATTTGTGGAGAGCTCATCATCACTACATCCGGTTCCAATGGATGACTTGCCTCTTCCATCAGCACTATTGCTAAGCAGCGGACGAACACCTTGAGCACTTCTCAAAGAAATTTTCCGCTTATTGGAAAGCGAGAATGATCGTCTATGTCTATGGTACATGGATTGACCACTGCAGAGAATGCTACTTCCTTTCCTTCTTAAAGTATCAGATAGAGAAGGAGAATAACAACTCCGATAAACCCCTCTATGCTTTGGGGTCCTCTTTGGCCAATAGCAAGGAATCCCACATCCTTGCTGACCTGGCAAATCCAAAGGGTCATCCACCTCGTCATACTCATCATTCAATGAAGTTGTGGTCGCATCCCATGAGCCAACAACGCTTGGATTGCAGTTGAAATACTTCTTATAAGAACTAGTTGACAGCGCAGGAGTACTATAGGAATAAGAAGAATCGTCCTTTCTGTCAGTTCTCAACAATCTAGAAGACGAATGTGACCAGTTCTTACGCTTGAGTTTGAGAAGCAGTGGGGATGCCCCCGAAATCTTGCGGAAATCCTCGGAATTACTATAATCTTCAGCGTCATCAGATTGATCAACAGGCTCATCCCTTCCTAAACCTAAAGCCAATGCAGGATGAGCCTTGAGTAATTTCCTCGAGTAAACCGAATACCTATTAACATCATTCTTTTTCGGTTCATATCTAGAAAAACCATCAAAATTAGAACTATTCTTCTTACTATTCTTGTTGAACCCCAACATTCTTTTGGCATCTCTACACCTGAACACCACCGACGCAGATCGACTCTCGCCTAAACAGGTATCGCACTTCGAATCCCCACACTTCCTAGCGTCGCTCAAGCTATTTTCATCCACACTACATTGAATCCAAGACGAAGACTTATCCCCATCATCCCCATCCTCATCGTCATCATCCACATTCACGGATGAAGATTTCTGACTCCTCCAATTATAAAGGAAACCCCTCTTATCTTTCTCACTCACGTTGGCATTCCCATTAGCAACACTACGACCATGATGACTGTTGCTTTCAACTCTAAAGGGTAACAAAGACAAATCCAAATAAGCATTACCATTTGACGTATTGAAACTTACACTACCTAAATGATTCCTCGAAGCAGTACAAGTAGAAGTCGAGCCTGCACCTGCTGCTGCTACAGATCTAGAGTGATTGATCGGCGATTTCCACGAAGAAGTGGTCCCTGGATCTCGCAAAACCCGGGCAGCTTTCCGGATTTGAGTCAGCTCCTTCTTCAAATGCAACCTGCTCGGATCAGCCATTCTCACATCCGACATTTTTTTTGCTTCTGGGGTCTCGAATCAACTGAAGAAGAATCACCCCAGAGCTACAGAATCTCTAAAGATTGTACATTTCACTCCCATTCATTGCATCCATGAATACATATGCAAAACTGAAGGGTAATAACTAATAAAAAGGAAATCTTTTTTAAAGAGATAATTATTACAAAGGCAAGGGAGATATGCGAAAAAAGTGGATCGAATAGTTATTAGTAGTTGATATATAGTGTTACCGTTGTCTTCCTTTTGGCTCTGTCAATAATGTTCTGTAAGATAACGAAAATGAAAACTGGAATTCTTTTAGGGTAAACGATATAAATAGTCCCCAAATTTTAAACATATTTCATTTTGGTCATCAAATTGGAAAACTTTTACTTAAAGTCACTAGATCATTAAACCATTAACAACAGTTAACATGAAACCTTAAAAATTTAACAATCATTGCTCCTCCTTTCCTCGTAATTTTTATTATCATTTTATAGTTTTCTAATAAAAAATATAATCGAGTTCTTCTTCTTCTTCTTCTCATCATTTATTTTTCTTTCTTTCGATTTAAATTCATAAAAAGAAACTTCTAATCTCCTCAAATCCTAATTGAAATTTAAAGATAAAACTTTGTAATTGGCTATCATCAATCATTAGATCAACTTGAAATTAAATTATATTAATCTTCTGATCTAATAGAGCCTTCCTACAATTGGAATTAATCGACAACTGTAACTTGGCCTTTACAATGGGTGTCAACTTGAAATCTTAATTTTTTTTTATAAGAAGACTTTTATCATCTTTTGCTAATGACAACTAATGATAACAACTGTAATAAAAAAATTAAAACTTTAGTGACTGTCATATATTTTTTACAAGTTTGATAGTCAAAGTGAAAGTATCATAAATATTTAGTGACATCAGTGTTGTTTATCTTTTTATGTTATTTTCTCTTTTATTACTATTTTCTAAGCACTTTCCAGTTTCCAGGGTTTTTTGTCGCCTTTCTGTTGGCGCCCCCTTTTAAATTTTATTTTGCTCGTCTTTTTGCTCTTTCTATGAAATGACTGATTATCTTGCTTTTAGTTTGGTCAAATTTTATATAAGGCTCTAGTATTATGCACTTTTTACAAATATAATCCCTCTGTTATAATTTAAGCTTTCAAAGTCTATTTGAATTTTGAAATATGTGTTTTCAGCCTATAGTTCAACTCTTTCTCTCGGGCTAAAATTGAATCATAAATTTCACGGGACTCAAATTGCAATAAAATAATTATCATTTTAAGGAGTTATAATATAATTTTATCATACACTAACTTATGTTCTTCTTTAATTTTAAATAATATTTTTTGCACAATTTTACCATTTTAGTAGGTCAAGACACATGTTGATTCCATAGCGCTCGTTCTTATTGAGGTAAATTAAACCTGTGACTGCTTAATTATCATTCATTTTTTTATTTTAATTATTAATCTTTTAATTTTGTCAATTAAATTACTTAACTATTAAGTATGGTCAATCAAGTCATTGACCGTTAACATTCAACGGAGGAACTGACGTGATTATTAAAAAATTAATATAATTGCACGTTTAGTTTTTAATATTTACACATTTCGTACACAATTTGAATTCGAAAATTTACTCAAATAAATAAATTATAACTTAAAAATTGATTTTTTTTCCATATAGAATCATATTTTTCTCCCCTTAAACTATATTAACCTCGGGTGCAACATCGATCTCTAATACCACTCCGAACAAAATTATTTCTAAAACAATAAATTAATAGGATTATAATAATTTTTTTTTTATTTTCTATATTTTATCATTTATAATTTTGCAGGCAAAAGTAAATACGCGGAAATATAAATTACAGAAATAATTTAATTACAATCGATCGCACCTTCCTTTCCAGATCTTTAGAAAGTGGTTATAATCTAATCTTGAAAATGACAACAGCTTTATCTCAAGTGTCTTATTCAGACATGATTGGATCATGTCCGAACTTATCCTCAAAGATTAAGACATGTTTGGACCATATCCAAACCATGTCTTAAACTTTTCCAAATCTTAATATTAATTTAATTTGGTCCTCCAATTAGATAAGTATTACATGATCCGATCCCAAGCTTAATCCAATAACAGTGCCTATTGTCGACCTATATAAAATGGTGGCAATAAGTTGATAAGCAATACGTTTTAGTAGGGTTTTAAATAAATCAAATCTAAAAGAATAAATTTTAGATGTTTGAATATTAATTTAGTTTAGACTCACGGTGTCGAGGTGAAGTGACATATGAAATTTGAGATTCGAACGATCATCATCTACGACGGTCGACGGTTATGTTTGGTCATATTCTATTTTTATTTTATATTTTAAATTATATTACATTAAATAAAAAAATTACCACATCATATGAAATAATAATAAAATAATTTAAAGTGATCAAAAAATGACTAATTCAAAAGTTCAGTGACTAATTCGCAGAGTTTATAAACGATAGTATTGTACATCTTATTAAACATATCTTTTGAGAAGAGAATAATGATTTATTGTAATTACTACTGGAATAATGAGTGGAGTGTAATAACTTGTACTCAAATTGATTCATTTTGTGGGATAAAAACCCGCACTGGAACTAATTCGACAAAAATATATAATTTTAAAAATACTATCTTCGTTAGGTGAAATAGAGACCTAATTGAAAATTTTTAAGAAATATAATTGTAATTATCTTTAATTATATAAAAATAGTTATACTATTTTGTCGAGTCTCAATAAGCTTTTTCATCCTAAATTCAAATTCAATTCGGCCTTATCTTTTTTTAAAATCTCCGACTCAAATACAAAATTTCAACAATAATAAAACAAAACAATCTTATAAAATCAGATCGAAACCATAGATTAAGTCAAATACCCATTTCCCACCCCTATGCAGATGAGTAATTTCATAGGGGTGAAGACCCATTAATTATTTTTTAAGTATTAATTAATATTAAATATATATATATATATATATATATATTTTTTGAAAAGAAAACTACCAACCATCAATTAAAAACTATAATTATAAAAAATAAAAAAAATATTTTAACCTTGTTATAATAAATTCTTAGTTTCATCTATGTCTATATCCATGATCAATGTCTTAAGAAAAGTAACTTACGCCGACGTCTGGTCTATTTAAGATCTTATACTCTTTTATGAAAATAGCCATCTTGTTGCTTGCTTTACAATGTTTGTAATTTTCTATGTGATACGTGCATGTTGCATATAAATTATTACAAATATAATCACTCTCATTCTACAATATTTTATCGATTCTTAAAAATTTTGAATTATCATATATTTAAAAATAATAATAATTTATTTTCTTACTTCTAAAAATTTAAAAAAAATCACTCTCTTCTAATATAAAATATTAAGTCCATCCGTACAACTCGTGCTACCATCTTAAAGTGGATTTATGAAGAACTTCCTCGTGAGATCTAGGATAGGATGTAAGTCATTTACTTTATACACCTGGGCTTCATTCAAGGCTTGTTTTTGCCTCTTGCTCGATTTTATTTTCTGATTAAAGTATCTCGTTATATAAAGATAATGAGTTATTATAAATGTTATTGAGTTCTTTTGATGTTGGTCTTCATTTTTAAGAGAGAATATTTTGTTTTTCTTCTTATCTTTTATGTTTAATATTTGTGTTTTTGGATAAAAATTTTGGTGACTATTGTCATCAATTTTCTCTCTATGTTTATGTTATTGTAAATCTTATTTGTTTCATTATTTTTTATTAATGAAACCCAATTGTTATCGTTAAAAAATGCTTAATACCAAAATAAGTGTTAAAATTATACATCTTTTTCCAAATAGGCACCTAAACTATTTTTTACTCATCTCAATGACTAACGTTATCAACATTACCCGTTTAGGTATCCGGTACATCAACGGTGTTAATTCATCTGTTAAGTGTCACGTGTCACAACTAGGGGTGTTAAAAAATACTCGACCCAGTTTACCCAACACGATGACCCGATGACCATAACTAAAAAAACTGGGTATTTATCTAAAAAAATTACATTGGGTTGAGCTCGGATAACAAAATTAGATTTTTTTCAGGTACCCATTTACTTTTTTTATAACTCATACATCCTTATGATATGGTATAGGGTTAATTACCTCATACATCCTTATGATACGGTCTAGATTTTAAATCATTCTCTAAACTTTGAAAACATTCAAAAACACCATCAAAGTATCAACATCATACTCTATTGATCAAGTCTTTTTCACATGAGATAAAGAAGTAATGAAAATTAGACACAACTAATTATCATTAATTAGAATATGATTCATAAAATTAAAAGTAATTATGAAAAATTATAAAAAAATGACTAAATTAATAAAAAAATATATACTTACATGTTGTTTTTAGATTGTTGGTAAAATAAAAAAAGAATTGGGTACCCGATTACCCGAATTACAGATACCCGCAAAATTTGGCTACATGAAAATCGAGTACCCAGATTTGAACACCCCTAGTTACAACCTAGTAATTTAAAAAAATAAAATAAAATTTTATATATATATATATAAGAAAACACAAATCTTGAAATAAATTCAAAACTTTGAAAACCTTCATTTCAACCCCTAAACCCAAGCCGACCGCCAGCTTTTGCTGTCGACAAAGCTCCACCCGGACTCTTATCCCCCGACGACAAAAACCCCCATGAAATCATGACCGATCGACGACGAATCAACATTTTATACCCTGCGAACCTTAAGAAGAAAATCGTAATTTCACACTATTCCGACAGCCAGTTGACGAGAACTAGGACGACGTATGAGTAGGAGGATAATAGGGACTATGTCGGTGGTCGTGGTCGTGACCGGAAAGGGCGGCGACGGTGGATTAAGGTTATGATTTGGGATTTTGGGTTGTTTTATAATATAAGAAAAATTAGTGTTTATTTTTCTTCATAATATTTTCAATATTTTTTAAAATAAATTTTAAAATCACCAGTTTGTGACATTTGTCACTTAACGTGGAAGATTAACGCTATTGACGGCCCAAGCACCTAAATGAGTAACGTTTGTAACATTAGGTATCTAGATGAGTTAAAAAATAGTTTAAGTACCTATTTAGGAAAAGCGGTATAGTTTGGACACTTATTTAGTATTAAGCCTTAGAAAAATAAGTTACTTTTAATCGGAGAACAAAGTTTCTTCAGCGCTATTTTGTTCTCATCCTCTTAAACACCAATTGGTAGATTAAGCATCCTACTTGGTGATGTTAAAGGTCATACCAACGAGAAGAAATAAAGAAGGGAGAGGTTGAAATCCCTGAATATGTGCCAAAACATGGCGAAGTTCTTGAGCACCGACCCATAACAGATTATGGCATTGAACCAGATCCCTCCACTTAACATAATTATCTACCACTGCCTACCTTTTTTTTTAATTGAAATAAGCCTAAAACAGTAGGATATGCGCGTATACTCTTATCAGTTTGCTGCGCAACAACATCGTCTAAAGCTAGGAGGTCTGCTAGCTCATCCAGGGGGAATCAAAATGAACCAAGTTGTAGTGTTGTCGTGAAGCTAGCTTTGCCATCCTATCGACAATATTGTTTCCATTCCTGCTAATCTATTGGATTTTTGTCACCCAGCATCCCGACTGTCAAAGTTTCAGAATTGCGCGAAGCAACAAAATATGGCTATCGATTGATCTACTTTCTCTTACCAATTTGACTGCTCTGCTGCAGTCAGACTGGATCCATAGCCTGTGAATGCCCAAGTTTATTGCAATGAGTAGACCTTCATAAATGCTCCAAAGTTCGTCGTGAAGTATCGATGTTGTGCCTACATTCTTTGTGAAACCTGCAATCCATTCTCCGTTAGAGTTACGAATAACACCACCAATTGAGTCTCGCTCATCAAGTGTCGTCACTGCACCATCCGTGTTCAAGCACATCCATCCTCGGGGTGGTGAAGACCACGTTGGATTTGTCACATGTTGTACCAGATATATGACATGGACTTTGGAGCTATTTGCATAGCATTTTGCCCAGTTATAGCTATGTAGAATCTGTTTTGTAAGTGGCACCCTTAAAAACATAGTCATTCATTTTTTCTAGATGTGCCAAATAAGAGCAGAAAAAATGAAGACCAAGGAGGATTGCTATCATTTACAGGTTGTTGCTTCTGAATATTTTGTGTGATCCATGATTGAAGATCAATCTCGAAGAAGCTAGCATATGAGGAATGTGGAATAACACGCAACCACAGGTTTCAGTTGGGTGGGTAATCACGCAACACATGAATTACAGATTCCATGGCTGCGCCACAAATCGCATAGGAGCAGTCATTTGTCAGCATTCGCCTTCCGCGTTCATAGTTTGTCATGATCTTTTCTTTATAAGCAAGCCATATAAACATGCAGACTCGTTGAGGAGCGGTGATTGACCAAATATTTTTTCAAACATTATTCTTTCTCTTCCATGAGAAAAGCGTAGGCCGATTTGATCGTAAAGTGATGTTCAGGATCCCATTTCCAGACCAGGGCATCGGATATATCGGTAGCCTCAGGCGGCCGAATGTTAAGCACATGAGGGATAGCAGCTAGAACAAGAACTTGGGATAGCACCTCCACGTCCCAATGATTTTATTCATCAATGAAATTGTGCAGCTTCTGAGTTGGGTGCACATGTGTGTCAGCTCATGCATAACCACATAATGGCCCCAAATGTGGTACCCATGCATCATTCCAAAACTTTTATTCTATAAAGTAATTCTTTTACATAAACATATTTAAAACCTTAACAGACTCTGTCAGAGCGTACATATATGTCATGACTTGGTTACATGCCAACATACTAAATTATATGACAATACATACTTTACAAAATATTTCTGATCTGAACTTTGTGCGGAGATATGCTGCTCTACGGATCTGAAGCTTGATCTTCTGACTGTTCACACCTACGTGTAAAACACTTACACGCTAAGTCATAGACTTAGTGAGACATGTAAATACATAAAGTAAACTAACAAATGCATGAACATTCCATATAACACATGTTATACTTATATACCTATTAAACCCATCACTTGCCGGTTTATCCTTACTTATTTCCTTATCATTGATTCAATTCCATCATATGAGCATATATTGAACATAAACATATAACATCACTTCAACCACAACAATAATTACTTATGATCATATCATACATAATCATATCACATCTCATATCACTATTACGCATATACACTTGTTACCATTATTATCATATAATCCTAACTTATCACTTATACATATCGCATATCACATATACCATTTCACGAGAAACACACATATCATTATATCAAATTATGGTTTTTTTTCAAAGCCCATGCACACTATTGAGAACTTAAGGTACGTGAGTACATAGAGGTTGTGCACTATACTGTCACCACAGCTCGTATAAATCCCACTAGGGGCACGTAGAATTTGACCCGAAGGACCACATAGATGTCCCGAAGGATCACATAGACCCTCGACTCTTGGCATGCCAACTATACCTATAGCTCTCATAACACATGACATTTGCATTATCTTTTACCTCATTACACATTCACATATTATGTAACATCCCAAACTATGAGTTAGTGACTAAATGATAAAGTTCCAGAAATTTGGTGATTAAAGTAGAAGAATTGATTAGTTCAATGATTTATCTAGAAATAAATCCTAAAAGTTGTTAGTAATTATCAAATAAAGTAGAGGCAAAATGGTCATTTGACTAATAAAGGAATTAAAAATAGATATGATAAGGATATATATGTTGAGGGGATAAGGATGAAGAGATATTCTCTTAATCTTCTTCTTCATGTACGAGAGAAATAAAGAGCCAAGCTTGCAAAGGTAAGATTCCTTGTTAGCTGATTATTTGTTAATTTTAAGAGTGAGTTTTGATCATTAGGTAATACTTAAGCTTATGGAAAGCTTAAGTTGTTCTAAAATCAAAAGATAAAGAAGTTATGAAAGATTAAAGAAAATGAGTTTCTTAAGGAAATTCTGGAAAAGAGTTAGTAAGTGAATTTTGAGGAATTTGACTTGTCATCAATCTAATTAAGGAATATGGAGTGTTAGAATTAGATTTAAAACATGTTAAAAATCTTGTATGATTCTTGAAGTTAATAAAGAGGATAGGATATTAAGGTTAAAGACGAGATAATTGATTATAAATGAGTTTAAACATGTATATGAAAGTTAGGAATATGAAAGGGGATGAAATATGAAGCATTTGAGTGAAGAGTTGATGATTTTCGGGTTCAAAAAGAGGTTATGGGCAGAGTGCATCAATGCACATTCATAGTGCATCGATGCATCAAGGTTAAAACCCAGAAATCGTTTGAAGGTATATCGATGCACAGGAAGTGCATCGATGCACTATTTTAAAATAAATACATCTAATGCAATTCGTGCATCGATGCATCCCAGTAATAATACAACATCGAATGCATTTTATGCACCGATGCATCAGTAGTTCATCGATGCATACTTTCATTGAAAGATGAAATTGTCATTTTTCTTAGTCTAAGGAGTGAACCATTAGAGTATATTAGCTATAATACTAATATAGATCTATGTATGATGATGTAGATGTAGAACGTGATCCCGTTCCGGATCAATTGAAGGATTATAATCGAATCAAAGCAAAGCTAAGGTGAGTGCAATTTAACTTGTACTTATATTATTGAATAAACATTTGGCTTGTGATGAGCCAGTGATGGAGTTACTATGGTAAGAAGTAACTCCTAAAATGTTATTTGATTGGTGATCAATGTTATGATTTGTGTGATTATGAGATATATGTTTACACATACATATGGTATGTGACCGAAGAGAATGAATATGTGATTATAAGATCAATGATTACACGTACATTTGGTACGTGACTGAAAAGAAAAGATATATGTTCATAAGAGAAAGGATATGAATAAGTAAATTGAACTGTTATGAATGTTAATGCCCATGTTATGTGATAAGAGAGCTAGTGGTATAGTTGGCATGCCAAAGGTCGAGGGTTTACCTATGTTCTTCGGGACATATGGATTGTTTACCTATGTTCTTCGGGACATATGGACTGTTTACCTAGGTTCTTCGGGATCTATAGACTGGTCCTTTGGGACGAATACTGAACTAAGGTTCGGTGCCCTATGAGGGAATTGATACGAGCTGTGGTGACAACATTAGTGCACAACCTCAATGTACTCACATACCTTAAGTTCTCAAATGTATACATGGGCTAATGCAAGGGCTTTAAAGATAATAAATAACTTGTTATGATACTATATATATGCTTTGTTGTGAAATAACATGGATACTCGATGGTGAGTATAGAAAGGTTCAATATATGCTTATATGATAGAAATAAATTAGTAATAATGATATGAGTACTGATAAGTATATTAATGATATATGTATAAGTATGCATTATGTTATATGAAATGGTTTATGGTTTTATTATATGTTTTATATGCCTCACTAAGTCAACGACTTAGCGTGTAAGTGATTTACACGTAGGTATGGAGAAGAGTAAAGAGCGATGTGGAGTAAGACAGGTCAGTTCTCCTTACTCAATGTCAGATCAGAAAAGAGGTGATTAATATGTACTTTAATATATAAAGTTCTAGTTGGCATGTATTCAAAAGAATATATTGTATAAACTCTGAATAGTTTTGTAAACGTTTTGAATAAGTTGAATGTTATAAAAGTTTTTAAATTACTCAATATTTTATACGAATAAATGTTTGAAAAGTCAATGTGACACTTCAGACTCGTATCTGGGTCGGATACGGGTTGGGGGTGTTACATATTCATATCACATAGTTCTTTCACATAGCTCTTTATCACATTTCATATGATCACATAGTCACGTAGTATTTTCCATTAAATTCACATTATCCATCCTTTTTACACATGATCACATCACATACCTTTTTCTCATATGCATATAACATATTATTTATTATCTTTTAACATATATTACATATGTATATAATCTTATGTCATATTATCAATATCTAATATATTTTATTATACTAGCCTACCATATAACATTTTAATAGAAGCATATATGGGTCATATTATTTTCATATATATGTTTTATCATATATTTCATGATCACATGACTTATTATCATAATACAAGCATTTACATAGTTCACACATAAAAATGCATTCAACAATCAAACATATGCATTTACTCATATATCATACATCTAACACCATATCACTACATGTTTATGCTTTAATACTTATATCATATAATATCGGAATTGGACTCATCGCAAGTCTTAATTCCTTAACATAACGTACACTTACTATCATGTACTCACCTGATCTCAATGAACCCTCTTAAACTCTTATTTCCGTTGCGTATCTTACTCTGTCGACCTATCCGAACTTTGCTTTCGATCGATGTCTACATAATCATGCATTGATACTATCATTATCTAATTAATATACTTTAATCTATCATTTCATAGACTGAATAACGATTTATTTCATTTCCCATTGAAGTGCATCGGTGCATTCTTTAGTGCATCGATGCATTCTTTAACATGTGCATCGATGCACTACAATGCATCGATACACAATTTACATTCGATGTTTCCATTTTAAGGGGATGCATCGATGCACTCCTCATGCATCGATGCACCAACTATACTCAATTTTTATTTATTTGAGAGTGCATCGATGCACATTGAAGATGTATCGATGCACACAACCCATAAAATACATTTTGAGCCCGAAAATTCTTACTTTGACCTCAAATTCTACTTATTATCCCTCCTTATGCCTTAAAACTTATCTATACATGTATCAACCTTCTTATAACACTATAAAACTTTACCATCTCTCATAATCCACCTTAATTCTTGAATCAAAGAATTTCATTAAATTTTCAATGTGTTCTAAATTCAATTCTATCACCTTTAACTTCTTAATTAACCCATTGACAAGTCAAATCCATCTTTAAAACTTAAAAAACATATTTATATCAAGAATTCATTTCTCAACCCTTAATCAAATTTCTTTTCTAATTATCTCATTTTGGTGTTTTAAACTTATATAAGCTTTCCTTAAGCTTATATAACACTCATGAAATAAAACCCAACTTAAACATTCAAGAATTAATCATAAAATCAAAACTCACCTTTGAGGTTTGAGCTTTAACCCACGAGAAGAAGAAATGAAGAAGGAAAAGAAGAGTTCTAGATCACTCTTCATATCCCACGTGTTTCATTCTTAATAAGGGAAAGAAACTATCTTTTTAAACTAATTACCATAATGCCCTCCATAATTATGATTTAATCCAATATTGAAATAATCCTATTTAAATTCTTGAACTTTCAATTTCCTTAAATTGATCCTCAAATTCCAAAAATTCTTATTTTAGTCACTAACCCGAATTTCGAGATGTTACATAAACCCAACCCTCCTCTATCAATAGGAGTGCATACCGTAGGTCAATTAACTAAGGATATTTTCTTTCTGAATAGTTCAGAACCCCAAATAAAGCGCCTAGTTATAGATTCTATCTCGTCACAGACCCTTTTTTAGAAAGACATGACTTGCATAAAATAAGTCGGTATGGATGAAAAGACCGATTTAGCCAGAGTAACACGCCCTGCCAACGAAAGAGTTTGAGCTGCCCAACCATTTAATTTACCCCTGAATTTATCGAAGATGAAGTCAAAATACGCAGCTTTCATACGACTATGAAGAACTGGCACGCCAAGATATTTGCCCATATGGTTAACTTCTTGGAACCCAAGACATGAAAGGATGGATGTTTTCGTTTCTGTGGTAGTGTTAGGCGAGAAGTATATATGAGTCTTTCATTTACTGACTTTGTGTCCTGTTTGAAATATTTGACCATTCATATATTTTTGAAGGCATTGTACTTGAACTGAAACTTCAAAAGATAATAATAATATCTTAACCATTGAAGTGATTTAGTTCATGCTACCATTGCATATTCATTGGGAAGTTCTGCTGTATGTCAGCCTAATTTAAAGTTAAGAAACAACATAGAATAGGTGCACCAAAAAATGTTATAAAAAACATAACATTATCAGTTAAACACAACCTAAAATATTAACTTTTTACATTTTCGATAGAATAAAAATGTTACGAAGAAAATTACATTAGAAAGATGTACAATAAAAATATATTAAAATAATTGACATTTTATGTTACGTCAAACTAAAAATATTATAATTTTATAATATTTTCGGTTGCATCATTCTCTATCATTTTTTAAACTTAAATACGTTAGACATTCCCCTTCACATTAGACGCGTCAGGAATTATCAGGCAAATCAAGAATTGTGTACAAGTCTTTATGTCGTGTACCTTGCCCTCATAGAAATCTCTATTCTCCTTTGAATCCTGTGCAGCCTGGTTTTGCCGTTTTAATTGGTTTATCTGGTTTCAAGTTCTGTATCCATTTTAAATGAGAGACGTTAACAATTCAATTAGTTGTTTAAGACTGCTAAAAATGATTCACCATGAAATGTGTTTTGAACTGTGTAATTAATTTCGTTGAAGATTCTACAGATATAAACAAATATCAAACCCATAAATTATACGTAATGTTTATGTTCCAAAGAAACTTCGTCCAAGCTAACAAAATGGAAGATCAAAATCAATCCCTTAAACTCCAAAAGCAGCAACCTTTAGATAGCGTGTTCAAAGAACAACCAAAGCTAAGGATAAAGCTCAAATCGACGTCGATTGCACGAATTAGGAACCCACCTTGCATATGCATCAGTTCACTTTAGTTCACTCTGAGCTCGTCTGCAACTGAATCTGAATCATATGTGTGAAATTGTAAGATGCGTTTTAAAGGATGATTAAAAAAATACTAACTTTTTGAAACAGTCTTGACTCGAAGCTGATGTATTTTCTTTTCAGTTTCTTCAAATCTCTTGCATCTTGAATTTTGGGTTGAATTGCCTGGAAAGAAACGATATTGAAGTTGATACTTTTTAAGAGACAGATTAGAAGCTTCGATGGGGGAGTTTGATTTTGAGTGAAATGGGTTTAAGACTTTTATTAAATTTATATTTTTTATTATTATTTTATTTCGATGGTCTGGATGAACCCTATTTTTTATCTAAAGGTTGCAATACAATTTACTAAAGTAGTGTTTGTTTTTACTGTGTAAGGTCTGCAAAGCTCTTATGTCTGCGCATCGCAGACCACGCACAGATATTAGGCTTTGCAGACCATTTGTTTTTTAGAAGATAGAAGCTCTTTTAACGTTTGCGCGGTGTAGACATGATCTTATATCTGCAGACGTATTCTAACCTTTTCAAAGAGGTTTTATATTTAATTTAATTATATTTGATTTTAATTTTAATATTAATTTTTTAAATAAATTAAATATTAATTTTTAATATTATATTATAGATATTTAATTTTATATCATATAAATTATTTTATATATTATTAAAACTTTATATTTATTTTAATTATTTTGATTTAAGTTTAAATATAATATTTTTTAAATTTGTTATTTTTAAATTATATTTAAATTTTTTATACAAAATGTAAGTATTTAAACCACATTGTTTAATAAAAAATGATTTCATTGTTTGATAATTAAGATTTTAAAATATAAAAAATTATAAATTATGTTTTTAAAATTTTAAAATATAATCACAATTAAATAAAAAATAATCATAAAATAATTTGATAAATTAAAAAATATTTTCTAAAAATATCATATAATTATAAAAATAAATTATGAATATATATTTAAAAAAATTAAAAGTATTACATAAAAAATCATATAATTTAATAATCATTTATAAATTTTATTCTATAAAACTTATAAAACTAATAATACATGTGATTATGTGAGATTTAATAGAATTAATAAGGTGGTGTTTATTTTTCTAAAAAATTATTATTGTAGTTTTATAAATTATTTAAATTTTAGTATTGTAAAACTAAAATTATTTAAATCTCAATATTACAAAACTCTTTTAAGTTTAAAAAATCAATTTATTTATATTTCAATTTATTTTAGCAGTCTACAGACATTAAAAAATAAACAGTCTTTTTCTTATAAACTACAGACTTTTGATCCACCCCTTCTATTATAAATGCTTGTAGATATGATCTATAAACTACAAACCTTTTACCTCTAAAAAAAAAAAAAAAATAACACCACCTAAGTTGCCCAGGAAACTTCGTGGAAACGTCCCAGTGGAAAGATGTTTTTTAAGGTCTCAGTGGAGCGATGACTCGTATGGGATATCAACGCAAATCCCTTGCCGGCCGTCGTCGTTTCGTTCAAAACTCAAGCCATCGGTGGTGGGATTTCCCCCCGCTTTTCTGGTAAAAGCCAAGCATCTAACCTTCTTTTGTTTTTTCGTTTGTTATTCTTCTTCTTCTTCTCGATTCTCAGCGTTTTACTCATTGCAAAAAAAAAATGAAGATCGATTTGGCCGTACCCGTACAAAATAAAGAATTAGGCATTTCTTGTTACTGTGACAGAATGATATTGGCAGCAAAGTCCTCCGCATTTTCTGGATTCTTCTCTAATACATATTCCTCCCTTGATCCTGTACGGTTTGCTGGTGTTTTGATTTTGTTTTTTTTCGTTTTTTTTCCGTTTTTTGTTTTCTAGTTTCGGAAACTAAAGAAGTTGAGGGGGAAAAAAGGAGTATAAATATTTGGGTTTGCTTCTGAATTCTGATAACATTAGGGTTCTTCTTTCTGTATTGCAGGTGGCACACCTTTGTATAAGGGGATTGTGCTGTTGTGGTCGGTCAGCCTGCCATCTCCCTTGCGACATTATTTCTGTTGAATTGTGATCGTCGTCATCAACATGACTGGCACTTCATCAGGAAATGGTCTCGTCCGCCTTAATGATTTGGAGGCTGGCCGTTCCAAGGACAATGATGATCTCGACAATCACTTTGATCCTGATGCCGACCCTTCCGATCCCTTTGACATTTCTCAAACTAAGAATGCTCCCCCCGAGACTCTCAAACGCTGGAGGGTAACCTCTTTTTCTCCTCCTGTAAAATTGTCTCCATCTGTTTTTCATCTCTCATTGTAATTGTAATACAAGTATTATATAGGATTTAGTAGCTATTAAACGAACTACATTTTCACTTGTGTGTTTAAGCTGTTTCTCTATTGTTGTCTTGTTATTCATTTTACGGGATGAGGGGGATTTATTTGATGATGCTTTCAATGTTTAAACGCAAGCTCAGAATGATCGCATTTCAAATTGTTATATCTTATTTAATGCTTGCTTGTACTAACATCAGAATGGAGGATTCGTTATGTCTGTGCTTTGTGGGGAACTTTTACCCAAGTTGCCATCATGTTATAAATATGCAAGCAGCCAGAATGGACTGAACTGAAGGATGGGTGAAATATTTAGCTGTTTTCGGCTATAATGCTGCATTCTTTGCCTTAACCACTGTAATGAGTAGGTGGTTTCCAATTAAGTGTAATGTAAGGTCTGAAAATGGCAGCTCTACATTTAGGTGTTCTTTTCAGGATAATTGCAACATCAATTATCCAAAGAAAGCATAATGCCTTGTTACAAAATTAAACCATTCAGCAAAAGTATTGCTACAAACAGGATACAAATTGAGAGGCTTTTCTTGCAATCCTCTGTTTCTTTCCCTCCAAAATATGTAGTGACCATGCTAGATTTAATATTGGGATGCTGTTGCAATTTAACCTCAATTTATCCTTTTCTGGATTTTATTGTTTTAAAGTATGATTCTAAAGCTAAAGCGTATTTGGGATTATGTTTGTTTAATCATCCGGAATTCAATTATAATGAGAACCGATTATGTGGTGGTAAGTTGGAACTTGATGTGTTAAAATCTCATTATGATTTAGATGCTCGCTGAATTAAATGCATGGAGTGCTTCTAAACTGATCACCTTTTCCTTTTGACCAAGTTTTGCAAATTTCATTTTATTTTTTTATTTGCAATCCCATGTTCAATTCATGGTTATATATAAATATGTTAATTGTCTGTTTGTTGTGATCTATTTGTCAGATGAGGAGTGGGGTTCTTATTTATCTTGGAGCTTGGACTGATCTATTTAATTTTCTTTTACAGCAAGCGGCACTTGTTCTAAATGCTTCTCGTCGATTTCGCTACACATTGGACTTGAAAAAGGAAGGAGAAAAAGAGCAAAGAAAGAGGATGATAAGAGCTCATGCGCAAGTCATCAGAGTAATTTTAAATATTTTAATCAACCTTTTAGTTTGATATTTTTGTTCCAGTAATGTTGAACTGATGTTTTTTGTTGCTCCAGGCAGCATTGCTTTTCAAATTGGCTGGGGAAAATGAATTTGGTATGCTACTTTTCCAACATTTTTACTTTAGTTTTTCTCACAATTCTGTTTTTGAGGACTTTCTTTGCTTTTGCTTTTTTCCCAATATCCAATTTCAGTAAATAGTGGAAATATCTTGAATTCATTCTCACAGACCTTGAAGTAGTTATTTTGGTTTTATTCTGATTATCTCGTGCAGAATAAGTAGTGCTTTCCTTAATCCAAACGTGCCTTGCAGCTATGGAGGCACACTCATCATTTATCCATTCATGGATTGGAAGTGCCATACCCCCTCACTGATAGTACTGCCCTTTATTGTTCTTTTTCTATAGGATACCATTTTATTTTTTATTTTCTCAATTATTAGGCATTTGATGAATAACTTAATTTAGTTTTATTCTGGTCGTATTATATTCCTGTTGAATAATTACCACTTCCATAAGCCAAATGAGCTTTATAGCTATGGAGGCTCGCTTCATCATTTATCTATTCATGATCGGGAAGTGCCATACCCCCTCATTGGTAGTACTGTTTTTTTTTATAGGATACCATTTTATTTTTATTGTCTCAATTATTACTCATAAGAAAGTTTGACACTTCCAGCTGGATATTCCAACAAAATGAATGTTTTATAGTTTTATTTGATGAAAACAGTGTTGTTATGAAGATGTAGATTGTTTGAATGTGCTAATATTCATTTTCTCTGCTGGGTCTCTTAACTTAAAAGCTGGTTTTAAATTTTTTTTTGATGTGTTATCTTATTGATTGCTTTATTTTGTATTGTTTGTTATGAAGGAGCTTGTTCTCAATTCTAAGACTGTTTTTCTTTTCCAGCTATTCCTTATTTTTTTGTATTCATGTTAACATATCTGTGCTATTCCAGTGTCAGATGCACCAGTTGCATCACCAGTTGATGGCGGTGATTACGCAATTGGACTAGAACAACTTGCATCAATGACCCGTGATCATAAGTTACCTGTACTTGAACAATATGGCGGAGTAAGTTACCTATCAATGCAACTTTCTTGTTTTACCTGGTGCTTTGTTTATTGTTCCTGCCTGTTGTTCATAGTGAATTCCTTCATCAGGTTAAAGGCTTGTCAGGTATGTTGAGAACAAATTTAGAGAAAGGAATTAATGAGGATGAGGCTGATTTGTCAAACCGGAGGAATGCATTTGGATCAAATACATATCCACGGAAAAAGGGTCGAAGTTTCTGGGTAAATTATTATTTTAGTCATTTTTTTCCAACTCTTGCAATTTGGTAGAAAATTTACTGATTGCTGATATTATCTGTGCTGGTCTGTAGATGTTCCTCTGGGAGGCGTGGCAGGATTTGACCCTTATTATATTGATTATAGCAGCCGCTGTGTCGCTGGGGTTGGGAATAAAGACAGAGGTAAAACTTCTTTTCTTTGAATTTTCTAATAGCATGTTTAGATTAGGGGGATGGAAGGGAAAGAAAGGAAAAGAGGGGATACTGGGAAAGTTTTCTCTTCATTTGGGTTTGCACTTGAATAAAAGGAAGGAAAGTGATGGGTGCTTTTTAGCTCTCCATTTTCTTTCCTTTCCCTTCCCCAAAATTTAGGTGAATTGACAAATATGGCCTCCATTTCTCTTAAAACTCCCATTTTTTAGTTCCATAAATTTGGAGAAAGAAGTAGGGAATGGAAAGGATTAATATTTTAAAAGCTTGATATTACTGTTATGTCCTTATTGTTTGCTCCAATCTTTTACTTCACATTGATTTTACTTTTTCTTTGTTCCTTGTTTCTTCTCCTATTGTCCTAATTGGTAATTGTTTTAATTGATATCCTTTACAGGGTTTGAAAGAAGGATGGTATGATGGGGGTAGCATTTTCTTTGCTGTTTTTATTGTTATACTTGTTACAGGTATAAAATTCATTATGTCTTCATAAATAGAATGGAATCATCTAAGTTCTACTGCAGCTTCCTATAATTACAATTTGGCTTGAGTTGTATAATTTTTTAGTGCTTTTATGACCAATGTTATTGTTATACTGTAGGAAGATCTATATCTAATTTTTTTTTATAAAATTATCAGCTACTAGTGATTATCGTCAATCTCTTCAATTTCAAAATCTAAATGAGGAAAAGCGAAATATACAACTTGAGGTATGTTTTACTTCTTGCAGTATGATGACATCCATTTCTATGGGCACCTTAAATTTGGTAAATTTTTTCAATACCTCTTCAGGTCATCAGAGGAGGTAGAACTGTGAGGGTTTCAATATATGATCTTGTTGTTGGTGATGTTGTCCCACTAAATATTGGTGATCAGGTGTGTCACTCAGTTTTTTCTTCAGGGCATTGATGATCATGTGCACACAGACTAAATATGGTTTGATGCTTTGGTTAGGTCCCCGCTGATGGAGTTTTAATCACTGGCCATTCTCTAGCAATTGATGAATCCAGCATGACTGGAGAGAGCAAGATCGTAAGTGGATTGTTTGATAATGCATTTATCTAATATGCAGGCTTTGTTGTTTTAAACGCTAGGTTTCTTGTAGGTTCACAAGAATAAAAAAGAACCATTTCTAATGTCTGGCTGCAAAGTTGCTGATGGTTTTGGTACCATGCTGGTATGTATCTTGCTCCTTTCCTTTCCTTTGATGTTCCTTGTTGAAAAATATGATGATCTCTGGTAATTTATTAGTTCTATCTGGTGATGTTTGCTATGTACACTGAGCTTTTGTCTTTCTTGCTATGGAGATTGTGGAGAAATATTGATCTGTGTTTTTGTTTTGACATTGCACTTATGTTTCTAATTATTGTTTGACCCGTCAATTATACGGTGACGTGTTTTATAGAGAAGCTGTGATAGCTGGTTTAATGCTCAAACTATCATGTATGTTTCAATTATTGTCTGATATGATTCTCATACAGAGGTAGTAGTTTGAGAAAGATTGGCAGTATTTCTTTATAAGTGGCAACTACATTTTGATTTGTTATATACATGTTAGTGAAATGTTCTTTGTTGGATTTGAAAAAAGTTATTTTTGATCTGCCAAAAAGTGTAAGGCGTACAGGATGAGTAATTTTTTTCAAGGCAAGAACTGAAAATTTTTGATGAACTTAATTTGGTATGCTCAACATTGTGACACTCGATTGTCTGGACACTACTTTTTGCACCTTACTATGGAGTTCATCTTGAGAAGAAATAAGACTTCTATAGATTCTGATCTTCATTTTCTGTTTCTTCTATATATTTGATCTTTCTTTAACGTCTTGGATAGTTTAGACCGGTTTGCTTTTTCACTCCCAAACCATTGACAAGTCATCTTTCTTAAATTATTTGTAGGTGACTGGCGTTGGAATAAATACCGAGTGGGGACTATTAATGGCAAGTATCTCCGAGGATAATGGTGAAGAGACCCCTTTGCAGGTTTCAGCTTAGTGCACCTTAACAATACCTACTTCCAATTCTTAAGTTGCATCCTAATCATTTTTAACACACTGTAGGTACGGCTAAATGGAGTTGCAACTTTTATCGGCGTAGTTGGGCTTTCAGTAGCTGTTTTTGTGCTTGCTGTTCTTTTGGCAAGGTACGCTAAGAGTCAATAAATTATTACTTATGCTAGATGAATTGCATCCCTCCTAACTTCTTACTTTTGGTTGGTTTCTAGATACTTCACTGGAAATACTGAAGATCCAGATGGAACCACACAATTTATTAAAGGACGAACTAGTTTTGATGACGCATTTAATGATGTTGTTAAAATTTTTACGATTGCAGTAAGTACACCGTAGTCCCTTAGATCATGTTTGGTATAGAGGGGAATGAGATTGTAATTATTAAGGAATATAATAGTGAGACTAAAATGGAATGGCTTATTACAGAGGTTGACTCGTTTAAAAAGAAATATATCTATAACTGTGTATGTTGTCACAAGTTAAGCGACACCAACTTGTTGAATTACAAAAAAAAAAGAAAAAAGAAATAATAGGTGGAAAGAAGTAAGAATATAACTGTTATTTTACCATCCTATAAATGAGGATTTGAGTCTCAAATTTTAATTGATTCCCCCCTGTAAATTTCATAATTCCACATGCAAAAGTAAACATAAAAACATGAATGACTTTTTGGTCTGAAATAGCACCGGAATAGAATGGTTAATTCCCATGAAGCAAAGGTGATGTTAATATCTTAATGTTCATTTAGTACAAAGTTTTCTCACTCTATAGTTGTGCAGGTTACAATCGTTGTCGTTGCAGTGCCTGAAGGGCTTCCTTTGGCTGTTACCTTGACGTAAGTTTAAGTCGTAGCTTTTGGTTTCTGTGCACTAGCAAATTTTTTTTTGGATAAGTATTGGCCCCATTAAAAACCCCCTTTATAATTATTGTGTTTTGAAACACAGTAATTATGGAAAGGGGAAAAGGGTGCCCAAAATTTTATTACCAAACATAAGATTACAACCAAACCAAATAAACCTTTTAGTACAATAAACTCATGCTTTGAATATAATTTATTCTTCTTTTCCTACTTATTGATTCATGGCACTGTTCTCTGCCTGAACTTTCAGTCTTGCATACTCGATGCGGAAGATGATGGCGGATAAAGCTTTGGCAAGTTCATTAACACTAATTTTTAAATGTTTTACTTCCATGACTGTAGTGTTTTGGTTTATTACCATCTTTATTTAAGAGGCATAGATTTACAGGTTCGTCGACTTTCAGCATGTGAAACAATGGGCTCTGCAACAACAATTTGCAGTGATAAGACTGGCACATTGACTTTAAATGAGGTTAGTTCTATGTGATTTTTGTTATACCACTATGATTTTGTGCTTTCTGTCTTATGATTTTAGCTAAACCATTGACAAGTCCTTGTGTCTTATCTCTCTTTTTTTCCTCTCTTTTTTTCTTAATGCTATATTTCCATCGAGGTTGCTCTTGTTCAGTCAATGTTTTTCACATGGTCATGTTTTTCACATGGTTTTAGAAGATGTTGGGTTTTTTAAAATTTGTTTAGCTGTTCAATTTTTCATCCTGCTGTTTGAAAGCTATAGATATCAGTCTGATTAACTAGTACCACAGATGACTGTTGTTGAAGCTATTGTTGGGAAAAAGAAGATAAATCCACCTGTAGATTCTTCCCTGTTGCACCCATCGGTCGTGTCTCTGTTGAGTGAAGGAGTTGCTCAGAATAGCACAGGGAATGTTTTTGTGCCTAAGGTAAGATTATTTCTGTTGTTCAACAAATTCATTATGCTAAGGTCAATAGATAAATAATTGTCAGGCATGAGAAAATGTGTTCTTGTCTAAGCTTAAATGTTTTGCATAGTAAATGACTTTTGCTTCTGACTTATCAATTGGTTCTGCTAATTACAGTTTTTCTTCTTCATAAGTCGCAGTGGAATCTCATTGAATTACATTCATTTTTCCAGGATGGTGGTAATGTTGAGATTTCTGGATCTCCTACAGAAAAAGCTATCCTTTCTTGGGCAATAAAAGTACCCCCAGAACTTGGGCCCTCATCTACTTCTGATTTATTTTTGTTTGCACACGCTAATCATTGAAAATTGTATTGCAGTTGGGGATGGAATTTGATGCTATCAGATCAGAATCCACTATTCTTCATGTTTTCCCTTTCAACTCTGAGAAAAAGCGTGGTGGTGTTGCAGTACTACAGGTAGTGGCTTCAGTATAACTTCCTAATAGTTTCTTATTTTGTTGATGTTAGTATATTGGGAGACTTAAAATGCAGTTATCACAAGTAACTGAAAGAACTAATGGCTCTTTGATGATTTCTCTCCTAGGATTACTGACATGATTGTGCGTGATAATGTTGCATTTGATTCATATTTGGTATTTTAACAGAAGCATGGCTGTTTCCTCAATTTTCCTTTTTCTTTTCTTTTCTTTTCTTAGGAAGATAAAACTGGTCAAACTTTTGATAGACAAGCTTCTTAGGTGGGAATTAGAATAAACACATTTTCTCCACCTACAACAGTACAGCACCTGTTTCTGCTTCAAGCATATCAAAGCATGATTTGGGTTTTAAGGGTGACTAAGAATAAACTCTATTAACTGCATTGAACGAACATTCAACCAAATCTTGTGAAATTAGAACACTTCAATTTCAATTTATAATTGATATTGTTACTTGATTATAGGACTGGAGTAAGAATATGAATGAAAGAAATATCTGTTGTCCAGGCCTTCATGACTAGGTAATGCAGGCTTGGCTGGTGGATCGGGAAATAAGTTGGCTAAACATAGAATGTTTTATATTTTGTGTTTTGTTGTTGTAATCAAAAGTGGAAAGCAAGTCCTTCAAAAAATTAGAGAGAATCTGGGAAGGGGGGAAGAGGAGAGAAATCTCTATGGGAATACTAATCCGGCACCCCACCATGCCGAACTGTGCTGGGTAGAGCTTAATCAGCTTTCTCCTGCTGTGCCAAAGGAGGCAGGAGCCTCATCTTGGCTAACTTGGCATATGGGATTGGAGGGATAAAGAAAGGAAAAATGAAAATAAGTTTATGGGGTTTTGGGCTATCTATGGGAAAAAAGTGATTCCTTCTCAGGTCTCTTTTTACTTGATCAAGTCTTTTCAGTTGATGGAATTAAAACTGAACTGCTGAAGTGCTCAGGTTCAAGTGCTTTTCAGTAGTATTTAGCTAAAGTGTTGCAGAACATTTAAAAAAGCAGCCTTTTTGCCTAATATTTTCAACTGGCAATACTGTTGATATTAATAATTTAGACAATGCCATTTAATATATATGTTTTCCTATGGCAGTCTGATTCTGAAGTTCATATACACTGGAAGGGAGCAGCTGAGATGGTTTTGGCCGCATGTTCTGGATATCTTGATTCAAACGGTTGCCTTCAATCCATGAATGAAGACAAGGTTAGTGATTATGTATATTTACACACAAACGCAAAAAAAAAAAATGCAGTACTGAAAGGTCTCCTGGGTAAAAAAGTAAAGGGAATTTCCTTCTCATTTGATCTCCATAATTATAAGTCTTTTTAGTTTTTACCAGTTGTAGGTTGACTCAGTGCTTTAGTAATAAGTATCTGATGATGTGCAGACTGATCATTAATTTATGGAAACCATATGTTTTGACTTGATGGCTGTTACCGATTTATGGAAACCATGTGAAAACATATGTTTTGACTTAATGCCTGTTCATTAGAAACTGTAGCTCGTGTTTAATACATTAGGAAAGAAAATTAAATTGCTCACTTTATGTCAAGTCTATAATTTAGTATTGCATGATTGAAAAATGGACTTTCTTTGTTTCTGATTCCTAAATCCTAGCATGATTTGATCAGCATATGCTTCCAACTTTTATTTTTCACCACCTTTCTGCAGGAATTTTTTGAGGCTGCTATTGATGAAATGGCTGCAAGTAGCCTGCGCTGCGTTTCCCTTGCATACAGATCGTATGAACAGGAAAAAGTTCCTAGTGATGAAGAGAGTTGTAATGATTGGGTCTTACCTGAAGATAACCTTGTTTTGCTTGCAATTGTTGGTATTAAGGTAAACATTTTTAGCAAGGATTTCCCACTTTTTACCTAATGGTATTTCCACATAAATGGTTGTTAAATCTATTAGTAGCTTGACTATCTTTTTTAGCTTTGACTTTGTGTTTGATGTTAACAAATTTATGCAATGCTGCGCTGAATGTTAATGTGAAGCTTTGTTTATGAAAGAAGGAAACTGCTCTTTCCCAAATTAAGTGCAACACTTTTATGAGATATATCACGAAACAAAGTGTTACACGCATGCACATCCAAGCAAATTGATCTGTTGTTGGAAACAAATTTGATATTTTTGTTGTCAAAATTCTAGTGTTTGTGTTTACCTGTATACAAATACAGTTTGGAAGTGTTTCTTCTGTTTTTATATGCCATTGAGAAAAAGTGGTCTTTGGGGGAGTTGCCATTTTGTTCGATTATTTGAATTGATCATATGATTATTCTTGTTTTATCTCTGTGCAGCCGCTACCTCTATTAACTAATAGAATCCTCCTTTTCAGGATCCTTGTCGCCAAGGTGTTAAAGATGCTGTGAAAATATGTATGGATGCTGGTGTTAAGGTAATTTTGTTGGCTTCGTAAGATTTGTTTTAGAAGTTATTATACTGTGTGTAGGATGCTACTTTTATATAGTTCATATTGAATGGTGTGGATTTCGTTTATTTTTCAAAGATTTTTAATTACTATAATTTAGAACAAATACTTGTAATTTTTAATTATCCTTATATATGACTTAAGTTTTTTAATATTTAGGTACGTATGGTCACCGGAGATAATATCCGAACAGCCAAAGCAATAGCTTTGGAGTGTGGGATACTTAGTTCTGCACAAGATGTTACTGAGCCTACCATCATTGAAGGAAGGGTATTCCGAGATTTATCTGAAAAAGAAAGAGAACAAATGGCTCAGAAAATAACGGTATCTATTACGTTTCTTGATTGTATTGCCTTTAGATCCTGATATTATTCTCAAGTGTCCAAACATATTTTGTTGATTAAAGCACGAAAGAGTGGCTAATGTAGAAAAAAGGTATTTTTGGTAAAGAGAATCATACAGTAATTAACAGTAAATAAAATACTTGTATTTACATGACTCCAATCTACATCTAATTGAGAGTTTATGCAGGTAATGGGGAGATCTTCTCCAAATGACAAGCTTTTGCTCGTTCAAGCCTTGCGTAAGGGAGGGGATGTTGTGGCTGTGACTGGAGATGGTACCAATGATGCTCCTGCACTTCACGAGGTTTGTTTTTGTGGTTAACTTCATTAGATTTATTTATTTTTCTTGTGATGATAGTGTTTTACGATGCATATTAGCTGTGGTAAGCATTGGCTTATGGTGTGTTTGATAAACTACTGGAAGTTAAAATTTTGAACGGTTTTATTTTTTCTGTATTTTAGGCAGATATAGGTCTGTCTATGGGCATTCTAGGGACAGAAGTCGCAAAAGAAAGTTCAGATATAATTATATTGGATGATGATTTTGCTTCAGTTGTGAAGGTTAGCATGCTTTTTTCTCTTTCACATGGATATTATTGTTTCCATTTTTACAATATCCTACTGCTGAATTTGAGGTAAGGCTCTTATCGAATTTCCAGAAATTGTATCTCAACTTTGTATCCTTAATGTAGGTTGTTCGCTGGGGTCGTTCTGTTTATGCCAATATTCAGAAGTTTATACAATTCCAGCTTACTGTGAATGTTGCAGCACTTGTAATCAATGTCGTGGCAGCAGTATCCTCCGGTGATGTTCCTTTAAATTCAGTGCAGGTACTGCTCTCTCTACTCTCATATTGCCCCTAGGTCTTGTATCGAATTTCTGACGAGAGGAAATGACAGCGGGGTAGAATTCAGTTTTATCTAATTTTCTGGATTATGATCTCGGGGTGCTGGGCCATGAATTATGGAACAGTTCACTGATAACGTTTTTTTCATTCCGACTATGTGGTGATTGCACTTAAAAACTAGTGTGTTTGCGAGTAGAATATACTCCAAAACTCATGTTTCTGTTGGGGTAGAGAAAGGAGAAAGCTGGTGGGATAAGTTTATGATGAGTTGAGGACAAAAAAATTGAATGCAAGTTCTTTTTCTACAGTTACTATGGGTTAACCTGATCATGGATACTCTTGGAGCACTTGCATTGGCCACTGAGCCTCCAACAGACAACCTTATGCATAGGACCCCGGTTGGCCGAAGGTCTGAATCCTTTTCTCATGTGAATACTGTGTACTTGGACTCATAGCACTCTAGTTCTATGTATTGATCATTAGAAATGGCTGAACTTATCAAGTTGATGTTTAATTGGCTTCTTGTATTGATCTAAATGTTTTATTTTCCCAGAGAACCTCTAATTACAAACATCATGTGGAGGAACTTACTCATACAGGTATCCGTTTCCCTCGGTCTTCACCATATGATTTTCACCCGTTAACATTTTACATGTCTTAGCTAGTGTTTTGCAATATTATTTGACCGAGAATTGTTAACTTGGACAGTCTGGGAATATAGTACAATGGTTCTATATCTTGTAATGTTTTCACATTTCATTTCAGGCTTTATATCAAGTTACTGTTCTCCTCGTGCTCAACTTCTCAGGCTTGACCATTCTTGGTTTGAAGGATGATGGTGACAAGGCTCATGCTCATGAAGTGAAGAATTCTTTGATATTCAATGCTTTTGTCATGTGTCAAGTAAGTACTTGATATTAGTGGTAAGTTGAGATTCCGGGGTCTATTTTTTTACATTTATCGTAAAGCTTAAAATTCGACAACTCTTCAAATCACAGATATTCAATGAGTTCAATGCTAGAAAGCCTGAAGAAATCAATTGCTTCAAAGGAGTGACTAAAAACTACCTATTTATGGGAATAGTTGGATTTACTCTCATACTTCAGGTGAACAAACCTCATCCTTTTTCATTTTCTCCATGCAATATTCGGCTTTCTTAGTGGTCATCATTTGTACTTGGTCTACTCATGATACTATTTCCAACTATTTCATAGATAATCATCATCGAGTTCCTTGGAAAATTTACCTCGACAGTACGACTCGATTGGCAGCTGTGGCTTGTATCCGTTGGCATCGGCATTATCAGGTAGGGCCTCTGGCTTTCATCACTTTTAGCCTCCAATAACCTTCATAGATCGTTGGGTTGCCGGTATTATTATTTACATGAAACTTCATCGACTGCTATTATATTTTTGAAGCTGGCCTCTTGCAATCGTGGGGAAGCTGATTCCAGTTCCGAAGACTCCGGCTTCGGCATTCTTCGTAAAGCCATTTCGACAATGCAGAAGGGCCAGGGATGATGCATGAATGGGGTATTTCTGCAATAAGTAAAAATTTGCTATCAAATCAAAGAATTTTCCAAATGTGTATATAGAAAGAGGCGGGCGGTTGCTTAAATCCTTTTTCTACACAAAAGGCAACAATTATGCTTGGCTGAGTCAAACTAAATTTATGTATTTTAGAAGGCTTTGGTGAAACTGAAACCTCAAGGATTTGCTTCATTTTATGGAGGCACGTGTACTTATGAAGCAATTTCTCATAGAATTTGAAAAATTAACGACACTAATGAAAATGTTTAGGAAATCAAGATCCAAATTCCCGATTAATTCACACAATTTTCAGAAAGCATAAATTCCAGAGCGAATCTCTCGAATGGCTACAGTATTACTTTAAAGAAAAACGAAATTCCCTAGGAAATGCAATAATAGTGTCTTACAAGAAAGACAAAATTCCATAGGAAGCAAACGATTCCACGGTCACTTTCATGCAATCGATGTGTGATCTGCCATTTTTTTATTATGGATTTTATTGTTTAGGAACTTCAGATTGTGATCTTCAGAATGGGGGAAGAAGAAAAGGTCAAAGACGAAGCCTTTTTTTTATATAGAGATCGACCAAAAATATTAATTAATGTTTTGTGAATCATTGAAATTAGGTGATTAGGTACAATATTAAAAAGTATATTCGATATTTTATTAAATGATTATTTTTATTTTTAAAGTATTTTAATTCTCAGATTTTCATTTTGGATTAGAATACTTTTTCTATGAATAAAATAGTATTAATTAAATAGTGATTAATATTATAAGATGATAATATTAAGGACACGTCAATAGAAAAAAAAATTAATTTTATAATAATGCTTCCGCATAAAATGTCGAGAGTAGGAGGGAAAAAACATGGGAGAATAGACTGGCCAGAATGAACAGATACTACTTCTCTGTTCCATTAGTACGAAGATACTGATTCTGAATTAACAATAAGAACTGTGCATCAACATGAACAGGCACAGCAGCAGAACAAACTCAAGCTCTATTCTTACTGGAGGAGCTCCTGCTCCTTCCGCATCAGAGTCGCCCTTAACCTCAGAGGTACCTTCCCTTTTCCCCCTTCTTCTTCTGGGTTTTTTTTAATCACTTAATTAGTAATTTCTTTTGGTTTCTGGTTTTTTTTGACAGGTCTGGATTATCAGTACATACCCGTTAACTTGCACAAGGGGGAGCAGTTCAGTCCTGGTCAAAAAATTTTAGAATTTTCTGGGTTTATTAATTTGTATCTAATTCATTAATAATTCAAATTAAAAACTTTGTTGAAAATTGGGAAATGGGTAGAATTCCAAAAGCTGAATCCTATTGATATGTACCGGTGCTGGTGGACGGTGACGTTGTCGTTTCAGACTCTCTTGCAATTTTCATGGTGATATTTTTTCTGTTTCCCCTTTCTTCTTTTCATTCGATTCAATTCTATTGTATTCATTGCTTAGCTTGATTTGTATGCTTTTAACGAATGTGAAATTAAACCAACTGTGTCTGGAGGAGAAATACCCTCAAATCCCCTTATTGCCATCTGATCTTGTTAAATAGGCACTCAATATCCAGGTCTCTGATGTCCTCCATTTCTTTTTTGTTTATGTTTCTTGTCACTATGTTAGATACAGTAATGAGTACTCACGCACTGTTTTATAGGCCGCGAATATCGTTTCCTCAAGCATTCAGCCTCTTCAGAATCTAGCTGTGCTGGTTTGTCTCCAAGTGAATTAGTTATGCCTTCGTTTTCGTTTTTGATGGGATCATTGAAAGATGCAGGGATTGTGTTTGATTTGCTGGTTTTGCCTTTGCAGAAGTACATTGAGGAAAAAGTAGAGTCCGGATGAGAAAATCCCTTGGGTAAAATTTCATGTAGGATAAATTACGTATTTAATACCTAAATTATCAGTGTTGGTTCATTTTAGTATCTAAACTTTTAATTTTTCAAATTCATACATAATATTTAGTTTTTGTTTTGTTTTCGTTCCCCATTGTTAAAATTTTGATGCGTTTAGTATCTAAACTATCAATTTTGGTCCGTTTTAATACATAATCTTTCAAAAAAAAAATTCAAAATTTAACGTTAAATTTTGAATAGAGGTATTAAAATGAAATAAAAATTAAACTTTAGGTATAATTTTGAAAAATTGAAAGTTAGGTATTAAAACAGATTAAAATTAATAGTTTGGGTGCTAAACACGTAATTTACCCATTAATGTGTTAAAGTCATATGTTTTGCGACTTGAGCATTAATTTAATTTTCTATAAAATTGAATCAATCTAGGGAAAAAGTATCAATCTTGTTAAGTTAATGCCCTAAAATTTAAATATTGGTACTAAATACGTAATTGCACCACATGTTCTCAAAGAATCAAATTGAATAAATCGAGGGAAAAAGTATCAAATTAATTTAATAGTTTACGTACTAAACACATAATTACATCACATGTGCTCAAAGTAGGAGCTTTATTTTAAATTGATCTTTAAACTTTTAAATATTTTAATGTCATCCCTAAACTATGATTATTATTGTACATTAGTCCTTGAACTTTTGATAAGTTTCATCCCCAAAATATGGCCTTCATTCTAAATTGGTTCCCAAGCTTTTTGAACATTTCAATTTCATCCCAAACTATACGTATATACTAATCAAACCCCTTGTTAATAAAATCGTTAGTCCAAATTATATTATTATATGTTAAAAACAATATTTAGGTTAAATTATGGTTGGAATTAACTACATATTTGGGGATGAAATTGAAATGTTCAAAAGTTTGGGGACCAAATTAGAAAGAGGGACATAATTTAGAGATGAAATTAGAATATTAAAAAAATTGAGGATCAATTTAGAAAGAGTGACATAATTTAAGGGTGAAATTAAAATATTCAAAACTTTAAAGACTCGTTTATAATGAGATTTATAATTTTAAGACATGTAATACAATTAACTCCGGTTATTTTGTTATTAACCTTTTCGCGTACAAAACCAAATCAAAAATAAAATATTCAAATTATTGAAAATGTAAAAGGAATTATAAAATTGAAAAAAAAAGAATAAAAATATTTGACATAAAGCTTAATAGGTTTGTTATCTTTTTTAGAATCGCAATAATCAAAGTCGATTTCAGTTAGATTAAATAAAGCTTAGCAGGTTTGTTATCTTTTCTAGGTAATTGACTAAAAGCTATGAAATGATAATCGAAGTAATTAAAGTTATCAACGGGGTTGATTTAAATGGTAAACAGTTTGATATTGTTTAAGTAAGATTTTCGGTTCGAGTTTTTGTGTATACATAAAATCTCCGTTGGAAGACTCACCCACCAAAATCAAGTGTGCGACTCGGATCAGTCCAAATTAGTTAGGACTAATCCTTGGAAGTGAAAAAAAAAATCAAAGTCGATTTCAATTAGATTAAATAATATTATTAACAGATGAGTTAACAATATTCCATCTTCTCTTAAATAGAATTTGATTTCAATTAGAGTAATTAATATTTGAAATTCAAAGACTTAACTGCATGGACCACCCTGCTTAGTTCTAAAAAGGAGAGGCAGCGTCCTCAATGAATATGCGGTTATTCTCCTCTCTCAATTAAACATGTTAAACATATATATAATCATTTTAATACATAATTTATATTTTAATCATATATTTCGGGTGAGTCTGGAATTGGGATTTGACTTAAATAAAACACGTTAGAGTCGCCACCGATCATTTTAAAAAAATATTTAGATTGATCTGATACCATCTTACATGATTTGCGTTTTTCCAGAAATATATCGGATTCGGGAGTCTGTTATAGTCAAGGAAGGACTAGCACCCTTGAATTGTCCTTTCGGTACCATTTTAATTTATCGGTTGTCTTAATTGCCAAAATTAAAAATTAAATCGAGATTTAAAAATTCGATTCAAATTTCTTACATTTGATCGATTAAAATTGTCCTAAAAATCAAATTATTGTTAAATAATAGAAGAAAATAAAATAAAGTGAAAAGAAAAAAAATAAAAAATATTGAAGAGATTAATGATTAAATTGAAGTTAATTGAAGGCTGTAAAGAGAAAAAAACAAAGCTTAGGGTACCAATTTAAAGTAAACAAAGAAATAATAAAGCGAATTAAATTGAAATAAAAATAAAATTTATGGACCAGATTGAAAATAGTGACCAAAATGATTTACATATCAAAATAGCAGGAACGACAGACAAAATTTAAGATTCTGCTAATTGCAAAATGGCCCTCGATATATAAATGTGCAAAACCCCCCATTTTCTCTTATTCTATGATTTCCCTCAAAACCAACTCTCCCCCTTTCTCCGAATTCTCTCAACCAACCCGATCGTCCCATGGTCAGCCACCCCCCAACGAAGCTCCTCCGCCGCCAGCTCCTCCGCCGCCAGTAGTCATGTCGGCTGCTCTGGCGGTTGAAAAAACTCCAAACCGTACTTAAAAGACTCTCCTTTACTCTCTGATACTGAAACCAAACCCCAAACCTCCAATAACACCACAAAAGATGTAGATCTAGGATTGAAGCTTCGGTTTTACCTAGTGACTTTTTGTACTCTGGTGTTTTTGACTCATCGCGATCACTCTTCCCTTATGTTTTTCTCACTGTTGTGGCTTGATTGTTTAGTGCTCTTTTTGTGTTGTTGTTCTGTGTTTGTAGCCCGTATGTTCTCGCTTGTGTTTTGTTTTCTTCTCAATAGATTGGTGAGGGTATTTATACCCCCACCAACGGTAGTTGTTTCCCGATCAAACTAGGATAGTGCATTCTCTATCCCCGTTTTTTTGGGTTATTTTCTGTTCGTGGCTTTTTGGTGTTATGGTTGTGGTCGGAGATCTTGGCTAGTTGTTGCAAGGTTCTTTGACTTTGGCCATTGGATTGGGTGCAGATCCAACGACCCAGGCTTGACTGCAACTAGATGGTACTTTGGGGTTTAGCAAACCCTAGTTTCCTGGCCGTTGATCTTCCCTTAATATAACGATCCTCACTTATGCGGTGCTTTCTCCTAATGCTAAACCCTAATTTGATTTGGACCTGAGCTAGGTCAGGCCTGCTGGTTCGATTGGGTTCAACTTGGACCCTTGGATTCGGACCTGGACCAAATTAAAATAAAAAATAAAGATAAAAATAATTAAATGAAATAAATAAGTAAATACAATGTAAATAAAAATCATATACTAAAAATTTACTTATTTCAAAACCCATATACAAATTTTCGAAAACGTTTTAAAAACATTTTCAAAATATTATATATTTTCAAAAAGGTTTTCAAAAACTATATATATATATATATATATATATATATGTGTGTGTGTTTCAAAAACTATATTATATATATATATATATATATATATATATATATATCAAAACATTTTTAAAAACTATATTTATATATTTTCAAAATATTTTCAAAAACTATATATATATATATATATATATATATATATATATATTCAAATGTTTTCAAAAACTATATATTATATATATTTTCAAAATATTTTCAAAAAACTATATATTATATATATTTTCTCAAAACGTTTTAAAAATCTATATCAAAATTTTATTAAATAGCACTCTGAGCGAAAATGAATGCCTACAATTATTATAAAATAGTATTTATTTATAATTTTTCTTAATTATGACAATGCGTATACACCCTATGAACACTACTCAAAACGGAAACACCTAAAAAGAACAATATTTCGCTTAATCACATTGATTGGTTTTATATTTTAGTTATATTATATAAGCACACAAACATGTTTTCACATTAAAAGTGTTTCATTTAGTTCAAATATCATATGATAACACAATCAACTTATCATATAGATATAATATGTACATGTAATATATAAACAGAAAGACAAATTAAAAAAATTCATAATAGTTGAATCAACAAAACTAACATATTTTTAACTTAATAAATATATTATGTCAAAAAATTAATAAATATATCAACAATCACTATACATTATACACATTATACACTTTTATCTTATACATATAAATAAGCATACATGAATTGTCTGTCCAGCTCAGTTGGTAGAGTGCAAGGCTCTTAACCTTGTGGTCGTGGGATCGAGTCCCACGGTGAGCAATTCATAATTCAGAAGTCTCCCACGGAAGCTGCTCTTAACCTGGTGTTGGGGCAGCCTACTATCCTACCCCCTTTACTCCATTACATATGAGAATAAGGGTTAGTTAATTTTTATATATATAAGCATACTAAACATATTTTCATTATCATACATTTAAATCATCAAAATTTATAGAAATTATTCTTACTAGATTAGTTGAGACTTAAGAATTTTAGATCCGAAATAAAATCTATTACAATATTTGGTATTTTATTCGGTTTTTATTTTAATTTTTAATAAAAATTTCTTTTGTCTAACTTTTTACTTGTCACATATTTTGCGCATGTTCGTCTACCTTTTTAGCACGTTTTAATTCCGTTCTTGTGTCTTGCTTTCTTTATCTTATGACACATTGTTCGTCAACCTTTGTGGTGTATTTACGATCGTGTAGTGATTCTAACATTGCTCGTATTTGATTTGTGATTGTTGGTGTGGTCTTTTAGTGATTAGATTTTCTTTTATGGTTGTTTGTCAATATATTCAGTTCTATTTTTGCGAAATAGCATGTAAATTTATTTTGGTTTTGTTCACCATTCCTTCGTCACCTCTAAATTAAACATTTAGTTTGACAGACAAAAAAAAGTATTACTGACGATTACAAGATTACTATGAGACGATGTAGATCAGATTCAAGGTTGTTTTGATTGCAATTGGATTGGGGAAATACATAATGGCTTTTAATTTCTTCCAATTCTAACACTATATATGACATGTTAAACTAAATGTATTCCTTTAGTTGGGTTGCAGCCTCACCCTACAACATATCTACCTAAACAGCAGCAACAAATAATCACTCTAAAGGAATAAGACCACCTCTACAGATTAGTAGTAATACATATAGTTTATATCTATATATATGTAGCAGCGGCGCCTACTTAAAAGGGTTGTTACCTTCCGGGATCGGATTCCACTCCCAAAGCCTGTCCAACAAGGTCATCGGGCTCGGTTGTGTCGCTTGTAGGACGTTCAGAGAAAGCTGTTGTGCCTGTGATTGTGCTGTCAGAGTCGAAAACTCCGGTTGCTGTTGTTGTTGATGATTATGGAGATGGACATGATTTGGATTGTAGTATTGCTGCTGGTTCAATGTAGGTTGTCGGAAGCTTACTTGCAGGTGGAGATCATCGACGAGGATGTTCGGCGGGACGGAAGAAGGGCCTAGTGGAAAGTGAGTGGTGGGATTGGGGAGTAAAGAGCAGCAGCCTTGCCTGGTTTGGTGGTTTGACAACATTCCTTCACCTTCCATTCCAGATGGTAATCCGAGTGTTGTGCTGATCGGAGGAGGAGCCATCGGACGGTATACGTTCCGCTTCGAGAGTCCGATAGTTGTTGTAACATCAGAGGCACTTGTGCTATTGCTTCCTTCGGTTTCACTTATTTTTTCCATGGTTTGTTGAGCTGCTGCTGCCTCTTGGGGATATCTCCTCTCCATCGATATTTGTCCCCTGGAAGAATCCGACGGCCGCCGCGTCGGAAGACAACGGGGTAGCGACGGGTGATCCTCCACGCCGGGTCTCTTGTACACCCGGCAAAGAGATATTTCCGCCTAAATGTTTTGTGGACATTGAGTGTAGGTTACAGTTATGATTCTCGTGACTGGAAGTAATAGTAGTATTGAATACATGTAAGGGTTCTTTTGGGGGTCATCGAATCCAAAGCTCATGCAGATACAGTAAAGAAATCAATTCATAACATCAAGACTAGAAGAAAAACCTTGCAATCATGAATTTTTCAAAAGAGAAATTAGGGTTTGGTGAAAGAAAAACATATACCAAGATCGTATCCAATTAGAATTTTTATCGGTCATTAACTACACTATGTAGATTCAGCTGATTAGACTCTACTTTGATCAACGTGAGATTTGGTGCATCAAATTATAAGTGGAAATAATATACCTTTCTGTAGCGTTCGGTTTCGTGGTGAGGCAGTCGATACTCGTTCATAATCCAACTGGATCGGATTCCCTTGGGAGCTTTACCGGAGTAGAAGACTAGGGTTTTTTTGAGACCAATGGATCGAGAGTTCTCGCCTCGAATCATACGGTCTGCTCCGGTTGCCTTCCAGTAACCGGACGTCGTAACACGATTCGGTCGATCCCCGTTTCTGTACTTCCGGTCTCTCGGCACGTAGAAGAACCATTCTTTCTCCCCAATTGCAGCCAAGGCTGAGATGTTCCGCACAAGAATTCAAACAAAAGATATACACATATATGTGTGTGTGCGTGTGCGTGTGATAGAGAGGAGAAGAAGGAAAGAAATGAAGAGGCAAACAATCAGAAGGATTTGCAGTTTTTTACCAGGAAGCTCCCAGGGGTCATAGCTATAAAGATCAAGGAAAGTGATGAGCTCGACATTGAAACGCTTGCCCTCGACCTTACGTCGAAGGTAGAACTCCACGAGTTCTTCCTCGGTGGGGTGGAATCGAAAACCAGGCATCACCACGTCGTGCTCGTGCTCATCTTCGCCGATGCTGCTGATGCTGATGTCCTGGTTGCTGTCGTCGTCCACTACGTTAATATTGGTATTATTATTATCGTTGCTCATGATTGCTGCTTCCGGTATTACTACTGCCATAAACTAATTAACCATCAAACTATCATGACTCATAACATACATATATACATATACATATACATTTATATGTATGTATGTATGTATCAGATCTGAGATATATGGAATTGGCCTCAAATGAAGTGGTAGGTTTAATTTTTCGTGGCTCTTTTAAAATGGAGGAGAAGAAGAATGAATGAATGAAGAAAACTAAAGAGAGCAAATTTCAAAGGGGGAGATTTAAAAAGATGAAGATAGCTTCGAGGGCCTACACTAATGGGAAGGGTACGCCCAGAGGCTGATTAAGACGAGACAGTGACATGTCAAAAAGACGACAGGTTGGCCATCACCATTAGAGCTTTGCGGTGCCCTTGGACCCTTCTTCCCTTTCCTCCATTCAATTTTTTTTTTTTAATTTCATCCATATTAACCACATTAAAAATTATGGTAATAAATGAATGTATCTAATTTAATGATCGATTAATTCAGAGATGAACTCGACATTCTCAATCTAATTTGTTCCATTAATAAATGTAAGGATTCAAACTCTTGATTTTATTTAAGAAATCTAATATCTTATGACCGATTGATTGTTAGTACATTCGTAAATTTTAAAATAATATATGGTTATTTTTCTTCCACTTATGATTAACATTAGAGTCGCCGTTATTATTAAATTCGAACATATATCTCACTATTAATTTTAATATTGCTGTCCTAATAATTAATTTCATTATATATATTTTTTAATCTGATCGAAATCAATTTGGACTCTTAATTAACAAATGTGGGACTTGAACCCATTAAACTCGAAGATATATCTTCCCTTTAGTCAAAGTTTTCAATTACCTCAATTTTGTATGAAGAAAAGTCTAATATTTTTCTTGATTACTTTAAAGCATTCCCCCACATGGAATGAACTTTCAAATAATAAATGTCCTCTTTATTTAAAAAAATGCAATTTCTATTTTATGATTTGTACGATTTTTTAATTCGCAGATCATTTTCTTGTATAAATTACATGTCTTTTACTAATTTAAGAGTAAATAAAAACTATTTTCTTGTAAAATGGGATCCTATGAACTTATTTTGTCCTAGGATAATAATAAGCTCCTTTGTTTTTTTTGTTGCCCTTTCAGTTCTCAGTCATCGTCTTAATTAATCTAGATCGACTCGGATTGCACACCTGACTTTAGTAGGTAGGTCTCCCTACATAGATTTTTTGCATGCATAAGAACTCAAACCTGAGACCTTACATAAGCGATATCAAACTGTTTACCACTTGAATCAACCTGGTTGTTATCTCCTTTGTTCTTTTACTATGTGAATAAATGTCTTTCTTTAATGTTTTTTTTCTTAACTTCTTAACTAAAAATCGTAATACATTAAGAAAATTATATATTTGAGTCTTCTACAATAGTAACACATTTGGGGATAAGAATTTAGAAATGTGCTAAAGGAATCGTAGAAGAATTTAAATCTACTTAAATTGTCACTAAAGGGAAGATTTGTCGATAAGGATGAATCGAAGAGGTTGGCGGGAGCGGTTGTCTCTCTTGAAAATTTTAAATTCTCGTATAATTTAGACATTTTATTTATGTTTTCTATTCATAATCTGTTTTCATTCCCTAAAAATCTATAAGTTTGTTCCCTAACATAAAATCTTACATGTGTTGATAATACAAAAAAAAAACATATTATCAACAAAAAATATTTCTATTATTCTACGAAAATGTTACAAACAAACATAATGGACGGCGTTCGTGGATAACTTCAACAAAAGGGTTTTCTGATAATGGACAACGTGTGTGGATAACTCAACAAACGGTGAATGATAAAAATAGAACAAAAATGTAACATTGTGTATGATTTTGAGAAAAAAAAGTAGTTGAGAGACTAAAAAACTAAATAATATGTGGGTGACCAAATAGGTAATTTACTCTTTCTAATAAGGGTATGCAAAACGCTTGACTCATTATACCTATATATATTAGTGAATTTTAGGTATACTGATGTATTATATTTAAAATAAATAAATTTAAATGTTAAAAATTATATTATTAAAAGAGATTATATTAAATGTAAATTACAAAAAAAATATTAAAAACATCAAAATTATGTACTTATACTATATATTATAAATAAACGTGGGTTATTAAAAACATAGACATAATAAATTTTATGTTATAAAAAATAAATAAATAAATAAACAAACAATAATAATTGCATCATACGTCCCCAATCTATGACTCTCATTTAAAATTGGCCCCTAAACTTTTAAACATTTTAATTTTATCCTTAAACTATGATTATCATTCTAAATTAGTCCTCAAACTTTTGAATATTTCATTTCCATCCCTAAATTGTGATCTTCATTCTAAATTGGTCCCAAACTTTTTGAATATTTCAATTTTATCCTAAATTAAATGTATATACTAATAAAATCTTTTGTTAATAAAATCATTAGGCCAAGTTGTATTATTAAATGTTTGAAAAAAATAAAATTTAGGTTAAACTATGGTTGAAATGGATTACATATTTGGACGGATTTAGGGATGAAACCGGAAGATGCAAAAGTTTAGGGACCGATTTAGAATGAGATTCTTAGTTTGGGGATGAAAATGGAATATTCAAAATTTTAGAACTAATTTAGAATGATGATCATAGTTCAAGGATAAAATAAAAATGTTTAAAAGTTTACGGATCAATTTAAAATGAAAGTCATAGTTTAGGAACGTACTATGCAATTAACTCAATAAATAAATAAACAATAATAATTGATGAGTAGGTAGGTGGAGATTGAGAAATAGAATGGTCAAGAGAAACCCGTGACCTCTCCTGTCTTTCTCCATTACTACACCCATTTTCTTTTACGTCCAAATCTTCAAACTTCATTCAAACCGATCCTCTATCTGCAGGAGAAACGGAAATTTGCAGAAACTTTCTGAGTAACAATGAGAAATGACCATCCAACTCAGTTGGTAGAGTACAAGGTTCTTAATCTTGGGGTCGTGGGATCGAGTCCCATGAAGGGCATTTCATAATTCGGAGGTCTCCTACGGAAGCTGTTCTCAACCTGGTATTGGGGGTAGCCTACTATCTTACCTATCTCTTACCCCATTACATATGGGAATAAGGGTCAGCTAAATTTTTTTCTGAGTAACAATGAAAGCATGTCTACCTCATTCTCTTTGTTAGACGAACATCACATGGCGACAAAATGGGGAGAAAGGCAGTGGTCGGCTTCGTTTTCTTTCGGCGGCGGAATTTGGTCACAAAGTTTGGGGGTTAATTTAAAATTTTCAAAAATTTAGAGTTTTAAATTAAAATTTTCAAAATTTTTGATGTGTTCAATTTATATATATTTTTTTTAAAAAATTTGGGGTCTCACTAATTTTTTTAATTGAGACTTAATGAGGATTTTTAAAAACTATTGGAGGGGTTTAACTAAGAATATTAAAAAAATTAAAACTTAATATGAATCTATAAAAAATCTGTGGGGCCAAATTAATAACTTTTAAAATTTTAAGAGTCTAAAATTAAATATTTCAAATTTTTGCGAGGCCATGACCCCACTATGTTTTGCCATTGTTTTCTTCGACATAGAAACGTGTCCTATTAAAACAAAAGGCATAATGACAAAATTAATTCTCAATATTTGTACAAATTATCACTTCACTTTTCATTCTTTTTAGAGTATTTTAAATCTTGACGCTTCAAATATTTTGGATGAAAACTATTAATTGATTAAAAATCAAATCAAATTAATGACATGATATTTTCTTTTCATGGTGACATGACATGTTAGGTGACAGAATACATATCACATTTTAATTTTATAATAATGTGATATGATACGTACCACATTAACAATTAACCACACGTGAAAATATCTAGTCAACAACTTATATACTTAGAATTTGTTTCGTGTTTGGTTGTGATCAAATTTGATTAAGTCAATTTTGTGTATCAGTGTATTGAGTTAGATATATACCAATTGAGTTTCTTATTTGACGTGAAATTAAACAATTAAAAAGTTATTTTCATTCTACGTGTTATGAGATTATTATTATCTTCTAAATAAGACGTGTATGATATGATATGGTTGTACTACCACTTTTTAATTTTAGCTTCTCTTTTTTTTTCCTTTCATTTTTGATGCGAAACTAATGTTTCTTTATCTCTTTAAACGTGACACGAATATCAAATATTAAAAAATTATTATCAACATATACTATTATCAATAAAAGGCACGACTGTTCAAGACAAAGATTTTGTGTATAATTATATCAAACTTGTTAATTATCACGTCTCTCTTTCTGTTAAATATTAACGAATAATGATTTGATTGACATCGTTTAAATAATTAAATAATTTGATTAATAAAAAAAAATTGTTAGTTAGATTAGAATCTTGTTTACCTTGATTTTTAACTTATTTAAGTTGAAACCAAACGTATTAGTTTAACAATGAAAGGGAGAGGCTAAATTCGGTGTACCCAAGAATCATAAGTAAACTCGTCATTTAGTGAAAATATCCAAAGAATTATGACGAAATTATCGGAAGAGATAAGATGAGAGGGGCCACCTCCGTAGGGTAGAATGATTTATTTGGTTTTTGTATTTTTTTAATAATTTAATATAAGTATAGGATAATATATGTTTAAAATAAATTTTAATTATATAACATTAAAATATTTTTTATACTCGAACTCGAGACCTTAAAAAATTAACAATAATTTATTTATCACTGAGATCGTTCGACTAGTGAAAAATCGTAACAGGTTGATTTCATAGGAAAGGGAGTGATGTTGAGGCGCGTCTGTCCTATTGCAACTAGTGGCTTACACTCTTTGGGCGGTTCTCAAAGTCCGAAATCATTGCAATTTGCAACTCATCACAATATCTCAAATCCCAGTTTCTGTGTCTCAGATATACAGAAGAAGATTCTTGTGAACACATACGATTATGGTACAAAACAAAAAGAAACCCAGTGATAAAATCACAAAATTTAATGCCGAAGAGAAGATGAGAGTGGACCCATACGGCTTCTGGGGGGTGCAGCCAGTCACCGACCTATGGAGGGCTCTCGAGCCGTCCAACCAATGTTGTGAGCCTCTTGAGCCCACGTCCCGACACGGCTCAACTTTTTGTCATTATTGCCCCCC